GGGACACTGATGGAAGACAGGAAGGCCTGAAGAGACACTGGAATGACTCTATATTCAGTCGATGGCCCATTATAATGTACTGTTTGTAATAAAAAGAAACAAAACTGGACATTACAGTCGAGTTGTTCAATCTTCTTTAAGTTGGCCACACACTATACAATCTCATTTAGAGTTACCATAACTATGTAATATGAGGCTAAACCTAAACAGTCCTTGGAATTATAAAATTAAACAGGTCCTTACAATACATAGTTGATGGTAGACCTGGAGGAGATTGTTACATAGTTACATAGTTAGTCTGGCTGAAAAAAGACAAAAATCCATCCAGTTCAACCTTAAAAAAAAACAATTTATAATCCTACACCCACAGTTCATCCAAAGGAAGGCAAAAAAAAAAACTCAGCAAAGCATGATCCAATTTTCTCCTGCAGGGAAACAAATTTTCTTCCTGATCCCCCGAGAGGCAATCAGATATTCCCTGGATTAACTTTACCTATAAATGTTATATCCAGTTATATTCTGTGTATCCAAGAAACAATCCAGGACTTTCCTACAGCAATCCACTGAGCTGGCCACAACCAACTCTTGAGGGAGTCTATTCCACATTCTCACAGCTCTCACTGTGAAGAAACCTTTCTGTGTTTGGAGATTAAATCTCTTTTCCAGATGTAAAGAGCGCCCCCTTGTCCTCTGTGATGACCTCAGAGGGAATAACTCTACATCGAGTTCACTATATGAACCACTGATGTATTTATACATGGAGATCATATCCCCCCTTATGTATTATACATGGAGATCATATCCCCCCCTTATGTATTATACATGGAGATCATATCCCCCCCCTTATGTATTATACATGGAGATCATATCCCCCCCTTATGTATTATACATGGAGATCATATCCCCCCCCTTATGTATTATACATGGAGATCACATCTTCCCCTTATGTATTATACATGGAGATCATATCCCCCCTTATGTATTATACATGGAGATCATATCCCCCCTTATGTATTATACATGGAGATCATATCCCCCCTCATGTATTATACATGCAGATCATATCCCCCCTTATGTATTATACATGGAGATCATATCCCCCTTATGTATTATACATGGTGATCATATCCCCCCTTATGTATTATACATGGAGATCATATCCCCCCTTATGTATTATACATGGAGATCATATCCCCCCTTATGTATTATACATGGAGATCATATCCCCCCTTATGTATTATACATGGAGATCATATCCCCCCCTCTTATGTATTATACATGGAGATCATACCCCCCCTTATGTATTATACATCGTGATCATACCCCCCCTTATGTATTATACATGGTGATCATATCCCCCCTTATGTATTATACATGGAGATCATATCCCCCCTTATGTATTATACATGGAGATCATATCCCCCTTATGTATTATACATGTTGATCATATCCCCCTTTATGTTTATACATCGTGATCATACCCCCCTTATGTATTATACATGGTGATCATATCCCCCCCTTATGTATTATACATGGAGATCATATCCCCCTTATGTATCATACATGGAGATCATATCCCCCCTTATGTATTATACATGGAGATCATATCCCCCCTTATGTATTATACATGGAGATCATATCCCCCCTTATGTATTATACATGTTGATCATATCCCCCCTTATGTATTATACATGGAGATCATATCCCCCCTTATGTATTATACATGGAGATCATATCCCCCCTTATGTATTATACATGGAGATCATATCCCCCTTATGTATTATACATGGAGATCATATCCCCCCCTTAATCTCCTCTTCTCAAGAGAGAATAAATTCAGTTTCCTCTAATCTTTCCTCATAGCTGAGCTCCTCCATGTCTCTTATCAGTTTGGTTGCCCTTCTCTGTACTTTCTCCAGTTCCCCAATGTTCTTTCTGTGAATTGGTGCCCAAAACTGAACTGCATATTCCAGATGAGGTATTACTAATGATTTGTACCGGGGGGGGGATGATATCTCTCTCTCTGGAGTCTTTACCTCTATTAATACAAGAGAGGATTTTGCTCACTTTAGAACCCGCAACCTGGCATTACTGCCATTATGCCATTAAGCTTGTGATCTTCCAGAACCCCCAGATCCTTCTCCACCATTGACCCCCCCCCCCCCCCCAGATCCTTCTCCACCATTGACCCCCCCAGATCCTTCTCCACCATTGATTCCCACAGTTGTACCCCCCCCCCCCCAGTATGTATGATTGTACAATCAGATTGTATAGGGTATGGTCACCTTTAGATCTCTTTAGCTGGATACAAATTGATTGGATAGTTCAGGTAGGTCCTCATATTACATTGATCTGGTAAATACAAAGTTGATTGTATGGAGGATGTATGGTCAGATTGTAACATGTATGGTGACCCTTATATTAGATGATGGTGACTTTGTGCCACCCAGATAAAGAGGACCCGTCTCATCGTCTTCATTCCTCCTACTGGTAGTATTGGTTTTAGCAGATAACCATTAGAGTCACTCTCACTGCTCATTGGTTAATTGTAGAACCTCTAAGGTCAGACATGTTCCATGCTGGAGTCATTAAATGTATCATTTCAGCATTATTTTCTTCTGATTTTTATTTTGCGGCCAAAATCTGCTGTTCCATAATAAACGGAAACGTCACCAATAGCACTAAAGAATATCTGCTGAGACTCTCTGTCCTTCTGTCTGCAGTCTCTGGTCATCACAAATGCAGCAAAGCGTTCGTCTACGGTTGGCGAAGTGGTCAATCTGATGTCGGTGGACGCCCAGCGATTCCAGGACCTGACCACCTTCCTGAACATGCTGTGGTCGGCTCCCCTGCAGATCTTTCTGGCTCTTTATTTCCTCTGGCAGGTAATCATCGGGGTCTAATGATCAGGGGGTTTAAACTGGGCAAAGTAATGCATTGGGAAGATGGTGACCTGCGGCGCCTGTAGCAAATGGTCGGTGTGGATAACGTATGCTACATATTGGGTGTGACTGTTAACCCCCCTGGCGGTATTCCTGAGTGTAGCTCGGGGTAAAGTTTCAGCACCAAAAGCGGTAACCCCGAACTACACTCGGGCTTACCATGTGGCGTTGCTCCGGGATCCCTCCATCACTTACCTTGTCCTGCGTTCCCGCAATGTCCCCCCTGCAGTGTCCCCAGCAATGTCCTCCCGCTAATGCCGGCATCTGTCTTCCGGGTTCCGTCCCCTGCGACGTCGGGACGTACGGGGGACGGAACTGGCGGGAAATTTTAAAATGTCAAAAAGTGACATTCATTAATACACTAAAATCACATAGTATAACATTCCTGTATCAAACCATTTCACATACATTTTGTCCCGAGTGCTTTGTCCGGCGCCCTGCCTGCATTTTTACTGTTCTTTCTGCCTGGAAACTGAGAAACGTCCATGGCGTCCAAAAAGCGTCCCTTTAGGTCAAAAGCGGTTGCATGGGGGCCCCATGATAATTTAGCATTACATCATACCTGCCAACTGTCCCGGATTTGCCGGGACAGTCATGCTTTTAACTAAGCTATCCTGGAATGGCCGTGTCCCAAGCAGTACCCCGAAACCTGTACTGTACCTTCCTGATCCCAGTATTGAGCCCTCCTGATCCCCCCCCCCCCCAAACTGTGCGCTTCTGCTTCCCCCTGTACTGTACCCTCCTGATCCCTGTACTGTACCCTCCTGGTCCCAGTATTGAGCCCTCCTGACCCCCCCCCCCCCCCGCAAACTGTGTGCTTCTGCTTCCCCCCCCCGTTCTGTCCCCTCCTGATCCCAGTATTGAGCCCCCCCCTGACCCCCCCCCCAAACTGTGCCCTTCTGCCTCCTCCTGTTCTGTACCCTCCTGATCTCAGTATTGTGCCCTCCTGCTCCCCCCCACACTGTGCCCTTCTGCCTCCCCCTATACTGCACCCTCCTGACCCCAGTTTTGAGCCCTCCTGATCCCCCCCCCCCCCACATACTGTGCCCTTCTGCCTCCCCCTGTACTGTACCCTCCTGATGCAATATCTCCTGCGCTCCGGGACCCAGACCGGTGGTGAGTAGATGGAATCAAACTCCAAAAAGGAAGGAACCCCCGGAATAGACAAGGTGTGCGTGCAGCTCCACATCAAGGCTGGGGAAGCCCAAACAAAACTGTGAAGAAGAACAACAAAAAGAAGCGCACCAACCTTGCGCATTACCTCAGTAACCAAAATTTATTAAGTAAAAGAATGGTACTCACAAACAGCTTGTTTTTATTCGCTGTTTGTGAGTACCATTCTTTTACTTAATAAATTTTGGTTACTGAGGTAATGCGCAAGGTTGGTGCGCTTGTTTTTGTTGTTCTTCTTCACTGTACCCTCCTGATCCCAGTATTGTGCCCTCCTGCTCCCCCCCCACACTGTGCCCTTCTGCCTCCCCCTGTACTGTACCCTCCTGACCCCAGTTTTGAGCCCTCCTGATTCCCCCCCCCCCATACTGTGCCCTTCTGCCTCCCCCTGTACTGTACCCTCCTGATCCCAGTATTGAGCCCTCCTGATCCCCCCCCCCCCCCCACATACTGTGCCCTTCTGCCTCCCCCTGTGCTGTACCCTCCTGATCCTGGTATTTTGCCCTCCTGATCCCCCCCCCCCCCCATCCCATATGGTGCCCTTCTGCCTCCCCTTGTACTGTGCCCTTTATGTTGATTAGTTTTTGATTTATGGTACATTTTCTTATTGTTTTAAAATTGAATTTATTAAAAGTACTAATAAATATATGTTTAATTATATCAACTATTTATACTTTAATTCTTGAGAGTAGGGGTGCAAACTGGGACAGACTGGTAGGGGCCCCAGTGCATTACTTTGCCCAGGGGCCAATGATGCTATTAAGATGGCCCTGCTGCTTTGTACTATACATGAACATTTTAGTAAATATCTTCTTTTTCTTGCAGACTTTGGGGCCTTCTGTTCTGGCAGGAGTTGCCGTCATGGTGCTGCTCATTCCCATTAATGCTTTTATTGCCATGAAGACCCGTGCCTTTCAGGTGAGCCTTAAACTATATAGACCAGCTTTGCACACTCTCCTGCAGCTTTTAGTAGGGTGGAGTTTTGTGATGCCCAGGGTAAGACACCAGCCTGTCCTCTGGATGTAGATGTGTCATTTCCAGGGATGGATTTGTCTCATATGCCAGGCAAGTGGAAATAATTGTATAAATACATCAGTGGTTCATATAGTGAACTCGGTGTAGTTATTCCCCCTGAGGTCATCACAGAGGACAAGGGGGCGCTCTTTACGTCTGGAGGAAAATAAATGTAATCGCCAAACATGGAAAGGTTTCTTCACAGTAAGAGCTGTGAAAATGTGGAATAGACTCCCTCAAGAGTTGGTTGTGGCCAGCTCAGTGGATTGCTGTAGGAAAGTCCTGGATTCTTTCTTGGATACACAGAATATAACTGGATATAACATTTATAGGTAAAGTTGATCCAGGGAATATCCGATTGCCTCTCGGGGGCATCCGGAAAAAATTTTTACCCTGCAGGAGCAAATTGGATCGTGGTTTGCTGGGTGTTTTTGTCTTCCTTTCGATCAACTGTGGGTGTAGGATTATAACTTTTTTTTTTTTTTTTTTTTAATGGTTGAACTAGATGGACTTTTGTCTTTTTTCAGCCAGACCAGGGGCGGACTGACAACTCATGGGGCCCCCGGGCAATAGGGGATGATGGGGCCCCTGTGTCCTTGCCCAAACTCAAAAAAGCCTATGAAAAAGGTACCAGGGGCATCTCATGGGGCCCCCTACTGACCCCGGGCCCTCGGGCAGTGCCCGAGTTTCCAAATGGTCAGTCCGCCCCTGAGCCAGACTAACTATGTAACTATGTAACAATCTCCTCCAGGTGTACCATCAACTATGTATTGTAAGGACCTGTTTAATTGTATAATAATTCCAAGGACAGTTTAGGTTTAGCCTCATATTACATAGTTATGGTCTTTTTTTCAGCCAGACTAACTATGTAACTATGTCTTAGACGGATAATAGAAAGTCTTGGCTGAGAAGCACAGAGCAAAGCAAAAAAAAAATGCAGGGGGGAGGTTGAAAGATGGGGGGGATTAAATAAAAGTTTCACAAGGGACTGTACACCCTTTAAATTTTAAAGTCTAACAATCAAAACGTTTTATTCTGTTTATTTATGAGTGGAGCCAAGAAGGGCTCGATCCTCATGTTGGGGCTCCTATTGCTGTCCTACCATTTCCTGTCCAAGTAAGCGGTGTCAGACAGAACAAGAAGTGAGGGGAAATCTCCCCAAGAGAGTCACATGCAGCAACCTACCCTGGCCCATCCAGAAATACAATGAGTTTTTGCTGGAGTGGGGTTTTTATATTAAAAAAAAGATTACGAAACATTTTTCAGAGTGTCTTTTTTTTGGGGGGGGAAATGTATCAACATAAACATATTTTCTTCTCCTGTGCTGTGCTCCCCTGCAAAATCCATTAAAAATATAGAATTTACAAAAAAAAATATATGGTATGTTTCTGCTGTATTGTGCTGACACAGCCAGTTACTGAAATCCTATTAATGGGTTAATTTAAAGGATAGCTACAGTCAAAATATAGTGTACAAGTATTGAGCGACACACGGGTGTATTTACCACAAGGCAAACAAGGCATTTGCCTAGGGCGGCATCTTTCAGGGGGGCAGCAGCATTTCTCAGGTGGGCAGCGCTACCCCCCAAAGGAAGGTATGAAAGAAGGGACACACGCAGCATGGGGACCAGGTGGGATCTGAGAGAGGCTGCGGGCTGCTTGATGGTGTATACAGAGCCTGACTCTTGTTCCTGGGGATGTCCTGTGAAGGTTTCTTTTCTCTTGCAGGGTCGGAGGAGGGGGCATTGCCAGTGTATGGGGGGTGGTAGTGGACGGCTCTCTCGGGTGGGGGTGGGGTGTGAGCTGGGGTGTTGTTGGTCAATGTCAGGCTCTCTTTGTGGGGGAGGGGGGTGCTGCTCGGTGTCAGGGTCTCTCCGTGAAGGGGGGGGACAATTTTTTGTGTTGCCTAGGGCAGCACAAAACCTAAATACACCACTCTCTACACAAATAGAGCTCAGCCAACCCACCCTGAATCTGGTGTTCCTGGAATAAGCAGCAGTGAGTTCCCAACTCCGCCCACTGTAGTCTTCTCACTGTCTCCCAGACAAAAAATAAGAAAGGGTGGAGTGGTAGAGTGAGATGTAACAGGAGGCTGCAGTCCCAGAAACCCATGTTGGGGGGGGGGGTTGATGCTGAAATCTTGCTGCTGTGGTTTCTATAGAAGCTGGATTTGAGCCAGCTGAACTTTAGCACAGCTGCAGTGTTTTCTGGATAGGACTGTCAGTTTACTGATTTTATATGGTGTGCAATGCATGTTAATCCATACCAACCAGTCACATTCCACCTTTCAGTTTATTACAGTCAGGACAGAGAAAGACGCTTTGTTATTGGCTGCTCTGGGTCACTTTTTTTTGTCTGTTGGTTGATGTTTTCTGGTGTTCCTTGCCATATGATTAGGTGGAGCAGATGCAGTACAAGGACTCCAGAATTAAACTGATGAACGAGATCCTCAACGGCATTAAAGTCCTCAAACTCTACGCCTGGGAGCCGTCGTTTGCCCAGAAGGTCCTGGAGATCCGCGGCAAAGAGCTGAGCGTCCTGCGGAAGGCAGCCTATCTCAATGCTCTGTCCACCTTTGCCTGGACCAGTGCCCCATTCTTGGTGAGCAGATCGTGGTCTCTGTGCTTGTCTATGCAATGCAGAAGGATCATGGCTGGTGGGAGGGGGCTGCTCCAATCAAAAGCCCTCAGTCCTTATGCAGGCAGTAGGAGGAGGTATGCAAATTTCAAAATGCCTTGATGGGTGAGTGTCAGTCTGGTGGAGTGAGGGTTCCCAGGCAGGCTGTATTTGCATACAGGGGGAGTCCAGATGCAACTGCAGAAGGAATAAAACAAGAGCGCACTGGGCTAGCGCATTATCCCAGATAACTGTTTATTAAAACGTGGATAAAATATTATTCTCACAAACAATTGATGACGGATCGCATATAAATTGACATTCCCAAGATGCATTTGTCCACAAAGAGCCAAAGACCCTGACATCAATGAAGTGCCATCCAAGGGCCAAAATGCGTCTAACGCGTTTCAAGAGTAACCCTCTTTCTCAGAGCCCTGCATACAGGTCTTCTTAGGTAATACCCATATTTGATGATTGAAAGAATTGAAATCCAATGAATGAAAGGGAGGGGACCAGGGACAGTCAGGTAGGGAGGAAAGTGCTAGATGATGCTGGATGTCTCCGAGTCAGGAAATGAGGTGGGCTCTATCTGACTTGCTGCGGCCATTGCAAGATACTTATCCCAACCTTAAAACTTCACCTCAAATTTCACGACAATTAAACCCTTGGCTTTAAAATTAACTTTTAAACCTTTTAACTGCCTCATACCCAAAACCTTCTGATGCTAAGCCTGACTTAAACCCTAAGCCTTTCCTATCTTGCTCTCCACCATCTCTCCTTCGTTTTTTTTTTCTTCCTCTAATTATCTGAGTGTTACAGGATTATCGGCGATCTGACTGCAAAGGTATGGCAAAGATGCAGCCTGCAGTATCTGTATCAAAGAGGAAAACAGAAAACGTGTTGCTCACTTGCATTTCAATTTTAATGTGTCAAACAGAAATGGATCACATTATACAAATAATTACTTTCTTTATAACGGCAGCAAAGACCACATGAAAAAGCGCAATTTGTGTTCGAGAGTTATTACTAACATATAGCATACTAAACAGAGAAAGTGAATGTCGCAGCAAACATAAAACTGAACAAAGATAGTATAAACCAAGTGTGACTAACCTGTATCAAAGAGCAAAACAAGAAAACACATGTTACTCACTTGCCTTCTGAGTTTTAATGTGAGCTTGTTGGTATCAGTCTCCTGAAGTCATACAACACTTCATTATAGCTCCCTCTAGCTGCAGCCTAGTAATAGCACTACTGGGAGGTTTATTCATTTACTTGCTGCATGAGCATACAATGAGTAGGACAAACTGGGACTTCCATAGTACTATAAACATGCTATTCTTCTTACAAAACACAAAAAAGGTATACATTTTTGAACAATATAAAAAATTACATCTATCAAAACAGTACCTGCGTTTACATACTGTATATTTCATATAAAATGGTAATATACCTCCTACCCTCTGCACATATTCCTCCTAATAGGATTCGGTATTATATCATTATTTGACAACAATTACACATATGTACATATTTATTTCTAATGTATTATACGCAAAGCAAACAGAGAAGGCTGGGGAGGCTATTTGTCAGCTCTATGCGTTTGCTGAATCAAAGTCCACTTCCTCATGATTTAGTAGGAGATATATCTAAAATGACATCCGTATGTCCATTAGCATAGTGAATCATTCTAAATATACAAATACCCAGCTTTATGGTCTTTACAATGAGATATTTACATGTTATTACTTGTATTATCACATTTGTTTCCAATCTTGACTGCAGCCCTCCCCACCTCTTATCAGAGTTCCTGTAGCAGAGCATATGTTTTTATATTCAAGATCGTAAAAACAAATTTTATATGAGTAATAATATGTACACACCTTATTGTGTAGGCCATACATTTAAAAATAAAATGAAACTTAAAAATATTTGTATATTTTGGAATCACTAATTATGCTAATGGCTGTGTGTGTGTGTGTGTAATGTATTTTTATATATATATATATAATTTTATATATATACTTTTATTTATATAAGAATGTGTGTATATATATATATATATATATATATATATATATATATATATATAGTGTAATTTGTATATTTGGAATTACTAATAATGCTAAATTTATATATATATATATATATATATATATATATATATATATATATAATTTATTTATATATTTTTTTAATTTATTATATATATATATATATATATATATATATATATACATATATATATATATATTATTTTTTTACTATATATATAATGTGTAATTTGTATATTTCGAATCACTAATTATGCTAATGGCTATATATATATATATATATATATATATATATATATATATATTTATTTATATAAGTATGCATATATATATATATATATATATATATATATATATATATATAGTGTAATTTATATATTTGGAATCACTAATTATGCTAATGGGTATATATATATATATATATATATATATTATATATATTTATTTTTTTTTTATTTATATATATTTTTTATTTATATATTTTTATTTATTTTTATTTTATATATATATATATATATATATATATAAATAATTAATTTATATATATATATATATATATTATTTATTATTTTTTTTAAATATACATATATATAATGTGTAATTTGTATATTTCGAATCACTAATTATGCTAATGGCTATATATATATATATATATATATATATATATATATATATATATATATAATTTTTTATATATATATATATATATATATATATATAGTGTGTAATTTGTATATGAACAGTATCTTCTACTGTCTTCTAAGCAAGTGACTGTTGATCCAAGAAATGCATAGGATTGATGAATGGCTTCTATTTAGGGTATAATACATTAGACATAAATATGTGTACAAATGTGTAATTGATTTCAAATGGTGATTTATACCGAATTCTGCTAGGAGGAATATGGATAGAGGCTAGGAGGTATATTACCATTTTAGATGAAGTATATGTATATACTACGTATATAAAGTTTATATTTTGGTATACATAATTTTAATATTGGAAAAAAAAAAAAAAATGATTATATCGGTAATATATTTAAGTAACTATTTGTATAGATATAAAGTTGGATGTTTTTATATTTGGAATTATTCATTATGCTAAGGGATATATTTATGTAGTTTGTATATGTACAGTATCTTCTACTATCTCCTGAGGAAGAGAACATTGATCCAGGAAATGCGTTGATAAATAGCTTCCTCAGTTGTGGGTATAATTCATTAGACATCAATATGTGTAATTGATTTCAAATAGTGATTTAACACTGAATCCTATTAGGAGGAATATGGATAGAGGCTAGGAGGTTTATTTCCGTTTTATATGAAGTATATGTATATACCAAGTATATATAGTTCAGATTTTGGTATACAATATTTTAATATTGCAAAAAAAAAGTAACTATTTGTATAGGCATAAAGTAGGATATTTGGACTCATTTGTTATAATAATGGATATATTTATATAATTTGTACATCTAGCATATCTCCTAATATCTCCTGAGGAAGTGAACACTGATCCAGGAAATGTGTTTAGAGTTGATAAATTGCCTCCTCTGTTTTGGGTATTATATATTAGGTATCAATATGTGTATCTGATTTCAAATAATGATGTAATACTGAATTATTAGGAGTAATAGTTATATAGGCTAGGAGGTGTATTACTGTTTTATAGTGTGTATGTATATGTATATGTATATATATATATATATATATATAATATATATATATATATATTTAATTTTGTCATATATATATATATATATATATATATATATAGTTCATATTTTGGTATACATAATTATAATATTGTAATAATATGTATGTACCTATTTGTATGGGCATAAAGTTGGATAGTTGTATATTTGGAAACATTTGTTATACTAATGGTTTTATTGTATTTGTCATTTATCTTATGAGGAAGTGGACTTTGATCCAGGAAATGTCTAGAGTTGATACATAGCCTCCTTTGTTGGTTTTGGGTACAATACATTAGAAATAAATATGTGTACATATGTGTAATTGATTTAAAATAGTCATTTATTATTGAATCCTAGGAGGAGGAATATGTAGGGAGGCTAGGAGGTGTATCCCCATTTTAATGCATGTATATGTAGTACATGTTTTGGTATACGTAATTTTAACCTTTTAATAAATTGTTTTATGACATTTTTGTGCTTTGTATTGCAATTAGAATGCCTATGGTACCCAGAAAGTCCAGTGTCTCATCCATAGTATGTTCCATTTAGACTGGTATAAAGATGTTGGTATGAAAATTGAGCTCAAAGGATGAGGTGTCTGGTATAATTTTTTTCGTATTTCTTATTATAATAAAAATGAGCACGCAAAGGTTCTGGGTTTGCAAAATGTCTTCAAGGCTCCGCGGGGGCGGGTTTATATGTTTACAGATAGGGGAGATCTCTGTTTGCAGTAACATCATTGTATAAAGAAGTCACGTCTAATCTTTTCAACTGCTTTGTAGGTGGCCCTGACCACATTTGCTGTGTACGTCAGTGTTGATGAGAAGAACATTCTGGATGCAGAGACAGCATTTGTGTCCCTCTCACTGTTCAATATATTGAGATTCCCTCTGAATATGCTGCCCCAAGTCATCAGCAACCTTGCTCAGGTGAGGAAATCCTATATATCCTATATGTGCCTCTTCCTCCATATCTAGAGAAGAAATACATAACAATAATGATCTTTGGGCTTTTGCCAGTAAATAGTTTGTAGCATTGTGTAACATTTAATGTAATGACAGTATCAAAAAATATTCGGATTTGTAGAAAAATCATTATTGTTATCCAAACGTCACTCCTGGTAGAAAAGAAATAAATGAATTGTAATAACTGAGGTCTATGCATTGCAATAACTCGCAATAAAACATGCATTTTACCATTGTAATACAAGAGGTAGAAATGGAACCACTCAACTTAAACTCTATGATGAAGCTCCTAGTGGAGTGAAACGCGTAAAAAGGAGCAGATGGATTTTTCCTGTATTTGTTATTTTTAACTACTTGCCAACCACAGATAGCCGAATGACGGCTACACTGCAGCCGGCCATTTCTGGGAGGGCGTCATATGACATCCTCCCAGAACGCGCTCTCCTGCACGCCCCCAGGGGCGCGCACCCGGCGATCTCCATGATCGCTGTCTCCTACGGACACAGCTGATCACGTGATGTGGTAAAAGGTCAATCACAGCGGCCTTTTACCACGTGATCAGCTGTGTCCAATGACACGCTGATCACCGGGAAATGCAGTTGCCGGTTCTCGGCTGCACTTTTCTCACGCTGTCAGAGCGCGAGGAAAGTACTGCCGAGAACCGGTAATTGTCAGAGCGGGGATCGGCATCGATCATTAGGGCACTAATGATCAGTGCCCTGATGATCGGTGCCCAGCAGTGCCACCCACCAGTTCCACCCACGTGTGCCCAGCAGTGCACCCACCTGTGCCCAGCAGTGCCACCCAGCAGTGCCACGTACCTGTGCCCAGAAGTGCCACGTACCTGTGCCCACCAGTGTCACCCACCAGTGCCCATCAATGCAGTGCTTAAGCGAAATCTCCTGTGCGCAAGGACTCAGGCGGGTGGCGAATAGATGGAACCAGACCTGGAAAGATCGACCACCAATGCATGTAGAGTTGTGCAGCTCCAAATAAGGCTGGGGAAGCCCAACCAATACTGCAAATTGAAACAAAAAAAAACGAGAAGCGCACCAACCTTGCGCATTACCTCAGTAACCAAAGTTTATTAATTGTAAAATAATACTCACAAACAGCGAATAAAATCAGGCATATAGGTCCTCAAAGGGACCTGAAAAGTAGAAAGCCAGCGCGGATCCCATCATGGGGGTAGATACTCAGTACAGCTGACGCGTTTCGAAGGGAATCCCTTCTTCATCAGAGCAGTGCTGCCAGTCAGTGCCACCAGTCAGTGCCCAGCGGTTGTGCCAGTCAGTGCCCAGCGGTTGTGCCAGTCAGTGCCCAGCAGTTGCGCCAGTCAATGCCTAGCAGTGCCGCCAGTCAGTGCCACCTATCAGTGCTGTCTATCAGTGCCACCTATCAGTGCTGCCTATCTGTGACACCTCTTTAGTGCTGCCTATCCGTGCCACCTCATTAATGCTGCCGCCTATCAGTGCCCTTCAGCGCTGCCTATCAGTGCCACCTCATTAATGCTGCTGCCTATCAGTGCCCTTCAGTGCCACCTATCAGTGCCCATCAGTGCTGCCTCATCAACGCACATCAGTGAAGGAGAAAAATTACCTGTTTGAAAAATTTTATAATAGAAACAAAGAAAAAAAATTTTTTTTTTGCACTTTTTTTGTTTATAGCGCAAAAAGTAAAGTGCCCAGCAGCTATTAAATACCACCAAAAGAAAGCTCTATTTGTGAGGAAAAAAAATGATAAAAATTTCATATGGCTACAATCTTGCATGACCGCGCAATTGTCAATCAAATTGCGACAGCGCTGAAAGCTGAAAATTGGCCTGGTAAAGAAGGGGGTATAAGTGCCCGGTAGGCAAGTGGTTAAAAACTCATCTTGGACTCTAAGAATTTGAGCGGTTTCATTACTACCTCTTGTACTGCAATTTTCAGCTGGTCACGAACTGCTTGGAGTTGGCATCCTTCGGTCGGGGGATGAGAATCCTAGAGCGGAGTGTTTCGGATTGTATACACTTTACCATGTAATATGGCAATATGCAGTAACACAGCAGTTTGTACAGTGGTGCCATTCATTTAGATTGAATACATACATAAGAAGCACTACGATCTCCTGTTGTTACTGTCCAGTCATGTGTATGACCAACTTCTTCGTTGAGCTGAATTATTTCCCTGAGATTGCTTCTGTCAAAAATGAACCTCTAAATGACATAGGGAAATCCATCAGATAGCAGTAAGGATGTCACACCAATGGAGATCAAGTGCAGAATCATTTTTAAGGATATTAAAAAGATAAGAAAGCCTACACGATGTGCAGTTTCACAACTTCTTCCTTCATCAAGACTTGTATGTTATGTCCTGCAAGGATGTTTGGACTCGAACGTTTGAGAGTGTTTGTAGATTTCACATCCAATATTAGTGTCAGGACCGGTATCTGAACCCACAACCTCTGCTATGTCTGGCAGTAGCTTTCCTTGCTGAGCCACCTCACATGCTGGTCAGCTCCCTGTCTGAATGCTAGGATAGTCTTGCATTTTACCTTGTTTCTGGTGAACCTTGAACTTGCTCCACCCATGAACGTTCCTATTCAAGCCATGCCTTGGCACTTCCTGTTTGCTAGATTATTGTGCTTTCTCCAGCTAATATCTCACTACTTTGCATACCTGCATCTGTCCTTCTCTCCAGTTCCCCTTGTCTCCAAGGGGCTTGTTCCTCGATTACGCTTTCGCTTGATCCCAACCTACAACCACTTGTTAATGACCTTTGACCCAGTAAGTGCTTAGACCCCGCACCTTAGGTGCAACCACTTGTTAATGACCTATGGCTCATATACTGACTACGACTCTGCTTGCTCCCTACCTGCTATATCTGCTAATGGACTCCAGCTTGTTCGCATCCTGGTGAGGCAATCCTGAGGACCATGGCCTAGTAATAACATGCAGCAATACTCATCTCCACCATCAGGAGCTTTGGTGAATACCAGTTAGTGCTTAGACCCCGCACCTTGGGTGCAACCACTTGTTCATGACCTTTGGCTCGTTTACTGACTATAACTCTGCTTGCTCCCTACCTGCTATATCTGCTACTGGATTCCAGCTTGCTCGCATCCTGGTGAGGCAATCCTGAGGACCATGGCCTGGTAATAACATGCAGCAATACTCATCTCCACCATCAGGAGCTTTGGTGAATACCAGTTAGTGCTTAGACCCTGCACCTTGGGTGAGCCTATGTCATCCGCTAAGGTGGCCTACTTGTATACTTATCCAACTGGTCGGTGGAAGCCTCTCTACAGATATTGCTACTCCGAGCCTGAGCCCTGACCATTAGTGCCAGTGAGTAATACAGCATGAAACATCATAATTTGTGAAATCTGCAAACGCTCTCAAACTTTCCAGTCCAAACATTCTTGAAGGACACAACATACAAGCCTTGATGAAGGAGGATTTGGCAATTTTATGAACCCTCAAAATGTATTGGCTTTCTTATCTTGTTGCTCTATAAATAATAAAATATTATGAACTGTGTGGTACCCCCTAAATTCATTTAAATGGATCCATCCTGCATTATATAAATACTGCCCAGGGCTGGGCTGAGGGGCAGGTAAAATAGGCACCTGCCTTGGGTACTTCAGTAGCTGCACTGGGGCACAATAAGGGCAGGACTTGCAAATTAAGTTGTTTACAGCAGATAGGAAGAGTTGAACTTTGGCCTTTTAATTTTGGGGACCTTGCCTAAGCACAAACACTGCAGGTCAAGTTTTTGGTCAGTTGCCATGTGGTTGGCATTTAAAACAAAGGAGCTACCTTATCATAATGCATCAGAATAGGCAACTGAGATTAGAAAGGGGACTTAGGCAGGGTGTTGGATGATGAATGGATGTGCAGAGCTCCCATCACCAAATAGTTAATTTCCCATGCAATTCAAACATGAACGTGCATACTGGCCTCACCTGACCATACATGTTCATGTAGTGGTAGAAACGTTTCCAGCCGACCTCAGTTACATCTCTAAATAGTGGCAATAATTTAATGCTGAAATGATTCAATCCACCAATCCACTCTGCTTCTGACAACCACTATGGGGTCTGCTCCTCCCCATATCTATAACCAGCAGTCACGATATGCCTGTGGCCTGCTCATTGACTATTATGAACTTTGGTCATTTTATCTTCCATTGCAGGCAAGCGTCTCCATAAAAAGAATTCAGAATTTCCTGGCCAATGATGAGCTGGACCCTGATGCCGTGAACAAGGATAAGACAATTCCCGGTAAGTTCACTTGTTTGCTGCCCTTCACAGGGTAAGGCGTCCTATGGTAAAGTGGGAACTACAATTTGTTATCAGTGGGGCGATATTAGTGGGACATCAATCAGAAAGCCACTTTTATGTGACTTTACATATATACAGTATTTGCTTCTATATTGTCCTCAATTGCACCTAGCTGTATGTCAGTACAGGCAACATCTTTGCTGAACAACTGCCAACATAAAGTCAATTACATGATTAGAGGGCCAGTCAGTTAGCATTTTCCACACAAGCTTTCATCTGTCGACAGAAATCAGTCCTTGAGCATTTGTTTAGTTATTTTATTGAGGGGATTAGAACTTGGATAGGGTAAGTGGTATATAGGATGCTCAAGGGAACCAAAATCTGAGGACAACATCCTGAACTATTCACAGCTTCTCTTTTATGATGCAGTCTCTGTTGGGAGTATTAGTCAGCAGCTCCAGTTGTACCACCCCAGACCCTAGATGAACTCCTCTTCATCCAGCAATCTGGAGATTTTCTTCCTGGGCAGGGGATCTGACTCCTGTTCCTTTAAGTAAAGTGTACAGTCACTAGCAGAGGGCTGATCTGGTTTCCCACCAGCGTGCTCCTTTCCACATCTGCCCAAGGAGGTGCAGGTGTACTCACTCAGACCCTCTCCTGTACCACTTGCGGAATGGCTGCTGCTACCAGTCATATCAGCTGGGCTGCTCCTTTCCTGTCATTCAGGTGGTCCTTGATCAGGGGCCAGTGAATCCTGAGTTTTCCTCCTTTCCAGATCCAGGCTCACAGGCAGGCCCCATCCCACTAGGCTTCCTGGCAGCCTTTTTCCTCCAGCCTCACATCTTCCTGCTTCTCTCTGCTCTCCCACCTGACTCTCTTGCTACTGAGCAGGCTCCAACACTTTTAAGGGAATCCAGCCCTTTGCCAAGCCTCCTGTTGGAGGTCCCTCAAAAGTGCAGGCAACCACTCCTTGGATCCTCCCACTGCCTCCAAGGCCCTCCTCCGATAGACTCAGAGCAGGGAGAAATTCCAGAGGGACTGGTCTGCAGATTCTCCCAATCCTGACCAGAATCTGACCCCTCCGACTATCTCACCTAAGCTGCTAATCATCTCCTCACTAGCCATCAGGATCTAGCTCCCACTAGCTAAACTAGGAGGGCATAACATGAAGAGTGCGTAGTTCAGAAGTGTGCTATGTACAGAGTGCAGAATACAGGAGTGTGCTTCATACATAGTGCAGAGTTCAGAAGTATGCTTCGTACAGATATCAGAGTTCAGGAGTGTGCCACATATAAAGTGCAGAGTTCAGGAGTGTGCCACATATAGACTGCAGAGTTCAGGAGTGTGCTACATATAGACTGCAGAGTTTAGAGTGTTACATATAGTGTGCAGAGTTCAGGAGTGTGCTACATATAGTGTGCAGAGTTTCAGGAGTGTGCTACATATAGTGTGCAGAGTTCAGGAGTGTGCTACATACAGAGTGCAGAGTTCAGGAGTGTGCCACATATAGACTGCAGAGTTCAGGAGTGTGCTACGCTACAGAGTGCAGAGTTCAGGAGTGTGCAGAGTGCAGTTCAGGAGTGTGCTACATATAGACTGCAGAGTTCAGGAGTGTGCTACGTACAGAGTGCAGAGTTCAGGAGTGTGCCACATATAGACTGCAGAGTTCAGGAGTGTGCTACATACAGAGTGCAGAGTTCAGGAGTGTGCCACATATAGATTGCAGAGTTTAGGAGTGTGCTACATATAGTGTGCAGAGTTCAGGAGTGTGCCACATAGAGTGCAGAGCTTAGGAGTGTGCTATATACCTACAGAGTGTGCTACCTACAGAGGAGTGCGTAGGAGAGTGTCCTACCTACAGAGTGCAGAGCGTAGGAGTGTCCTACCTACAGAGTGCAGAGCGTAGGAGTGTCCTACCTACAGAGTGCAGAGCGTAGGAGTGTCCTACCTACAGAGTGCAGAGCGTAGGAGTGTCCTACCTACAGAGTGCAGAGCGTAGGAGTGTACCTACAGAGTGCATACGTAGAGTGTCCTACCTACAGAGCTGCAGAGTAGGAGTGTGCTACATACAGAGTGCATAGTTTTAGGAGTGTGCTACATACAGAGTGCAGAGCTTAGGAGTGTGCTATATACAGAGTTCATAGATTATGAGTGTGCTACATACAGATTGCATAGCTCAGGAGCGTGCTACCTACAGAGTGCAGAGCTTAGGAGTGTGCTTTACCTACAGAGTGCAGAGCTTAGGAGTGTGCTATATACAGAGTGCAGAGCTTAGGAGTGTGCTATATACAGAGTGCAGAGCTTAGGAGTGTGCTACCTACAGAGTGCAGAGCTTAGGAGTGTGCTATATACAGAGTGCATAGATTATGAGTGTGCTACATACAGATTGCATAGCTCAGGAGCGTGCTACGTACAGAGCACAGCGTTCAGAGGCTGTGAGTGCAAGGGCTACAGGACATGGCCTGGTGGCCTGCGGGACTTGTGTTTTGACATATGTGACATAAATGAAGAACTAAATAAATAATGGAAATCAACTACTGAATGGGATCATTACACACATTAGCCACACACAGGCATCAGGATACAATATTTTTGTGCTGGGGTTAAAGGTTAAATGCATAATTTGTGCAGTAACACTTATGTCAAAGCTTCTACTGCCAGTCCAATACTGACCTATCCCCAGTTTAGTGAGATAACGCCATCAAAATCTTCTGAGCGATGCCCGCATTCTCCATTCATTACTATGCAGCAAAAAAATAAAATTGGAATGATTTTGCACCACCTAGTGTTGGCTCTGCACACTACAACCAAAGGAAATTATCCTTTAAGCCATAACAGCAAAAGAAAAATAGTCAAAGTCTCAGTCAAAGCAAAAATAACTTTTCTCCGTATTGTTACCAGGAAATGCCATCACGGTGCACAATGGAACATTCAGCTGGGCGAGAAGCAACGAACCGGTTCTACATAAGTAAGAATATTTACAATCATAGAAATGACACAAGCGCATGTTCTTTCTTTGTCTTGATTATGTATTAATATAATTGTAACCAAAAAATGTTGTTTTTTTAAATCTTTGTAATGATTACTAGGTGTAGAACTGAATGTGTTCCTGGCTATCATCATAGTTAGTCTGGCTGAAAAAAGACAAAAGTCCATCCAGTTCAACCATTAAAAAAAAAAAGTTATAATCCTACACCCACAGTTGATCCAAAGGAAGGCAAAAAAAAACCCCCAGCAAAGCTTGATCCAATTTGCTCCTGCAGGGGAAAAAAATTCCTTCTTGATCTGACTATCATCTTCTCCTTCCTGTTCTCATTTCTTCGAATCTCTGTGACAGTAGAAGGAAGGAGATCCTTATGAGAACACAATGACTATAGTCCAGCCCTAGGTTCATAATAGTGTCCAGGCAGGGGTGGACTGACAACTCATGGGGGCCCCCGGGCAATAGGGGATCATGGGGCCCCTGTGTCCTTGCCCAAACTCAAAAAAGCCTATGAAAAAGGTACCAGGGGCATCTCATGGGGCCCCCTACTGACCCCAGGCCCTCGGGCAGTGCCCGAGCTTCCAAATGGTCAGTCCGCCCCTGTGTCCGGGCAATGTGCAGGAATTAATGAGGATGATGCGTATACGGCAAATATGACTTCCTAAACCCATCACCGATAACTTCCGGCCTTTCCTAGTGTTTCTGCTCCCAGTAGACTCATGATAGGTGCTCAGTTACTGCTTGTCTGATACTTCCCTTATTATACACAGCGTCCAGAAAAACCCCTGTTTTGTCCCCTGGTAGACCACTGTTTGCCTGATAACAGCTGCCATGTTGTTTTTGTAATTCTATGGGTCTATGGCAGGGGTGGGCAAACTTTTTGACTTGAGGGCCGCAATGGGTTCATATAATGGACCCGGGGGCCGGACCAAGAGTAGATGAATGATGTGTATGTGTCATCCATAGTAAGTATAGTAATATTCCCCCATAGTAATTAATCCCCCATATAGTAATTCATCCCCCATATAGTAATTCATCCCCCATAGTAATTCATCCCCAATAGTAATTCATCCCCCATATAGTAATTCATCCCCCCCATATAGTAATTCATCCCCCATATAGTAATTCATCCCCCATAGTAATTCATCCCCCATATAGTAATTCATCCCCCATATAGTAATTCATCCCCCATATAGTAATTCATCCCCCATAGTAATTCATCCCCCATATAGTAATTCATCCCCCCATAGTAATTCATCCCCCATAGTAATTCATCCGCCATAGTAATTCATCCCCCATATAGTAATTCATCCCCCATATAGTAATTCATCCCCCATAGTAATTCATCCCCCATATAGTAATTCATCCCCCATAGTAATTCATCCCCCATAGTAATTCATCCCCCATATAGTAATTCATCCCCCCATATAGTAATTTCCCCCCTATAGTAATTCATCCCCCCATATAGTAATTCATGCCCCCATATAGTAATTCATCCCCCATAGTAATTCATCCCCCATATATAATTCAGTAATTCATCCCCCCAGTATAGTAATTCATCCCCCATAGTAATTCATCCCCCATATAGTAATTCATCCCCCATATAGTAATTCATCCCCCCCATATAGTAATTCATCCCCCATATAGTAATTCATCCCCCATATAGTAATTCATCCCCCATATAGTAATTCATCCCCCATATAGTAATTCACCCCCCATATAGTAATTCATCCCCCATATAGTAATTCATCCCCCATAGTAATTCATCCCCCCATATAGTAATTCATCCCCCATATAGTAATTCACCCCCCCATATAGTAATTCACCCCCCCATATAGTAATTCACCCCCCATATAGTAATTAATCCCCCATATAGTAATTCATCCCCCCATATAGTAATTCATTCCCCATATTAATTCATCCCCCATATTAAGTCTCCCCTGTGTCAATTCACTTACCTTTGCTCCGCGCGTTTCCTCTCGCCCTTTCCCGCGCCGTTCCGGTGTAGCATGAAAATCTGTCTCCTATGAGGATCTGTCCCCCTCGACGTATCTGCGCATGTGCCAGTTTCAGGCATTAGCAGCCGATCGGCGATCTCCGGCACATGCGCAGATACGTCGAGGGGAACAGATCCTCATAGGAGACAGATTTTCATGCTACACCGGTCTTCAAGGCGGACTGTGAGAGGAGCCTAGCTCCGCGGGCCGGATTAAAAGGTCCTCCGGGCCGTAGTTTGCCCATTGCTGGTCTATGGCATCCTGGTTTAACAGTTTGGCAAGGCAGACATGAGCCATGCCACTATAGGGGTTAGGAATGTTTGTGCTGTAAATGCCGTGTTCATGTTTAACCCGATGTCATTGCTCCACGTCCTGAATCCACCATTGTGGTGGCGTAGTTGAAAACCAAAATTCATCAGACTGGACCTGAATGTGATGAACAACTACTAGCTATGCCATGACGGGATAGATAACGAGTTTCAAAGACACTTCCTCAGAGTAGTTTTGTTGTTCCATAGCACCCAGTTGGGACAGGGTTCCACCCAGCAACATAAGACCCACCCCCAGCAACAATAGACATCCCCAGGGACAATGGAGGCCCCTCCCACAAAAATAGATCTTCTCCAGCAACAATAGATCCCTCAGCAGCCAGCATCAATAGATTCGCCAACATAGCCCAGCACCACTTGCCGTTACATACATTCAGTGCTGGGGGTGCGGAACTGTGTTCCCACTGAAAAAAAAAGCCCTGGTTATAGTATCCCCCAAAGTTGTACTTCGGCAATTTACCTTTTATTATACAAACCAACCAATGTACAAATGTTTCTCCATCCAGAACCACCTTTCATATAGATTTGTCTCAAGAAAAGTTTTAAGACACAGGTGGAGTTTTAAGACTCCACTTTGGTGGAGGTCTATTGAGACATTGGTTGATTCAAAAGGTCCAACAGGTCTAGTTTATTTGACTTGGGAACCTGCTTTCTGGGCATAATGATGATGCATTTTTTTTAGTCACTCTTTAAGCTCTTCTTGATAATCTACTTGATAATGGAAGGAAGTCCTCGATAAAGGAACATTGAAACATTGGTTGGCTCAACAGGTCCAATAGGTCTACTACAGTTTTGGTGTCTTGGAAACCTGCCCTTTTACACATTTTTTGGAATACCTTTTTAAGCTCTTCCTGATAATCTCCTCAAGACAGAATCCAGGACAGCAAAGAAGCCTTGATGGATATTTCTCATTATGTCATAAACAAATATGAAAGACATTGGTCATTCCTGGTTAATTACATTTACTCTGATCCTTTTACTCTTCCACAGCATCAATCTGCTGGTCCCCACTGGCTCTCTGGTCGCTATTGTCGGTCACGTCGGCTGTGGAAAGTCGTCTTTGGTGTCGGCTCTCCTTGGAGAGACCGAGAAGATAGAAGGGGATGTCTCCATCAGGGTTGGTAGGATTCTTGTCTACATTTGTTTCCAATGTCATTATAAACCAAATCTTGGGAAAAGACACTTTTAAGTTGTCAAGGAAATATCTCTTCCCTACTACTTTATATTTGGACAAAGATCAACAAGTTTTTTTCTCCTCCTCACTCTTATTACATCAACAATCCTGATTGCCAGACATTTGTCATCTCTGGATCTTTGCACAATTACTGACATAATAGTCATCATTCATCATTTTCCTGTTTTTGTATCTTATCATTTTTTAGGGTTCTGTTGCATATGTCCCCCAGCAGGCCTGGATACAGAACTCCACCCTGAAGGACAACATTCTGTTTGGCCGGACAGATAATGAGAAAAACTACAAGAAGGTTCTGGAAGCATGTGCCCCTGCTCACAGACTTAGAGGTGCTGCCGGGAGGGAGATCAGACTGAGATTGGGGAGAAGGTAATTCATTTCCTCCATCATCAACTGCCCACTTTTGCAGGAGGAATAATGTGCAAGAAAATGTCTCTAAAGAAAAGAAAATATTCAGCCCAATTTTCCCAGCATTTTGGATTTTTTGGGCTGAGAAACCCAATGCTTGGTAAACTGCAGGTAGCACGGGTCTCTCAACACAGAAAACAAGTGTTAAAAAAATTGTCCCCCCTGACAGTGGCGTATTTAGGCTTTGTGCATCACAAAATTTGCCCACCCTCATAGAGAGCCTGACATTGACCAACAACACCCCTGCCCCCCCCCCCCCCCCCCCCCCATCCAGAGAGTCACCACCATTGCCCCCATACACCGGCCACTCCCCTCCCACCAAGAGAAAGAAAGACACCTTCTCAGCTCTGGACATCCCCTGAAACGAGAGTCAAGCAGCCCGCAACCTCTCTCATATCCCATCTGGTCCCCAAGCGGCATGTGTCCCCTTTTCCATCCCTTCTTCCAGGAGGGACGATGCTGCCCCCCTGAAAAATGCCGCCCTAGGCAAATGCCTTGTGGTAAAAATGCCCCTGCCCCCTGATACCCTCTGACTCCCTACTCTGACATGTGCTGCTTCCCAGCAGTGTGCAGTGAAATCAGAGTAAAGGGACAAGAGCCTTACAACTGTGCAAAACTGAAGAGAAGTCTGGAGTTCAGCTTTACCCTGACCTGTTGCCTTATGCTTACAACTATTCCCAAGCCTAAAATTTAACCTAACCCCTAAATTAAAGTCTTGACATTAAAGTGCATCTAAGCCCAAGAACGAAATGTAACACATTGCACCTTCTTTAAATTTTGCGGCTGCATTAGTTTTCCTTTTTCAGGCTTTTTTTTGGCACTTGATGGTTCTGCCAGGAACACCAAGGTGACAACACTCACTTACTGTACCTATTGAGGGAGAGTGTTGCCCTCTAGAACAGGAAGAATGTAGAGCAACAGAACACCTCCTTCTCTTCTTGATAACGTTGAGGGGAGGTGTTCTGTAGTCCACACAGAGCTAGCTGGGAACAATGTAATTAATGAGAGAGTTGGCACAGAAAATGTTATAGCTTGGATTAGATTTCTGGCAGGATCAATATTTTTGCAAGCTGGAATGCATAGATGTTTACTGTTCACCTGCCAACGGACTCGTAACCCTGTCCAGCCAGTCTTGTGATACGCACACCCAGGGGCGGACTGACAGCTCATGGGGCCCCCCCCGGGCAATAGGGGATCATGGGGTCCCTGTGTCCTTGCCCGCACTCAAACCACACCCAAAAAAAGCCTATGAAAGGTACCAGGGGCATCTCATAGGGCACCCTACTGACCCCGGGCCCTCAGGCAGTGCCCAAGTTCCCAAATGGTCAGTCCGCCCCTGCGCACACCACTGCTAAGTCACTAACATCCTTTATCTGTCTCCTGGTTCAGCATTACTGCTCTCTGCTGAAAATCTTTTCCTCCCTCTCACATTACAGGGTATTAACCTGTCCGGGGGCCAGAAGCAGAGGGTCAGCTTGGCTCGGGCTGTATATAGCAATTCTGATGTATATCTCTTGGATGACCCCCTCTCTGCCGTTGACGCTCATGTCGCTAAACACATCTTCGACAATGTCATTGGACCAGATGGACTGCTGCGAGGGAAGGCGAGTACAAATCAGAACATGCCATTCTAGCCTGTGATTTGTGCAGCAGCCAACTGGGCAGCTGCCCAGGCCCAAGGCTGCATAGCCCAGGGGCCACACTCAGAAACCGCTTTTCCCTTTTTCATTATTCACTATAAAATTATTTTGAAATTAAATTGATATATTTAGTTACATAGTTACATAGTCTGGCTGGAAATAGACAAAAGTCCATCCAGTTCAACCATTAAAAAAAAAAAAAAATTTTAATCCTATACCCACAGTAGTCATTTGATATATATTTGTGTTGTGTGTGTCACTCACAGACTCGGGTACTGGTCACTCACGGTATCAGTTTTCCTGCCACAAGTCGATCACATTGTGGTCATAGTGGACGGAAGGGTGTCCGAAATGGGATCCTACCAAGAACTGATGAAGCAAAATGGAGCGTTTGCAGAATTCCTGAGGAACTATGCCTTTGATGATGAGGTGGAGGAGGAGGAGCTGACCAGTAAATCCATTTCATTCTCACATTATTTTTTTGGGTTATTTTTAGTTTATTTATCATGATATATTATTTATTGTAAAAAATATATTTTATATATTTTTTTTTTGTTCTTGTTTTTTTTTTCTTTTTTTTTTTTTTAACAATATAATTTTAAAGAAAACCACTAAAAGGTTAAAGTTGTACTTCATACAAAAACACTTATGCAGGCCATAGACGGGGAGAAAAAACCGGACGTTTTTTTTTTTTGAAAAACGAAAAATCGGTCGTTCAATCAGCCGACGTTACCACCATTGCTAAAAAAAGTCAGCTGATTTTCGTCCCGTCTACGGCCGGCAATTAATATAATAGCGGGTGTCCCTGCAGAGAGCTCCGCTATTATATTTGACATTTAAAAGAAGAAGAAATAGAATTTGAATAAGAAAAAGAAGAAATAGAAGAAGAAGCAGAAATAGAAGAAATAGAATATGAAGAAGAAGAAGAAATAGAATATGCAGAAGAAGAAGAAATAGAATATGCAGAAGAAGAAGAAATAGAAGAAATAGAATATGAAGAAGAAGAAGAAGAAACAGAATATGCAGACGAAGAAGAAATAGAATATGAAGAAGAAAAAGTTGCAACATTGTATCTATTTGTATCCATATCGGATACAGATGTTTCTATTCGGATACAAATAGATACAATGTTGCTATACTTTTAAATGTTAAATATAATATCGGACTGAAATTCTTTTTTTTTCTCTCTTATTCATATTCTATTTCTTCTATTTCTTCTTCTTTATATTCTATTTCTTCTTTTTATTCATATTCTATTTCTGCTTCTTATTCATGTTCTATTTTTTTCCTTTTCTTCTTTTCCTTCTTCTTTCATGTCACTGCTCATGCACATTTTTTAAAATTGGTAAAAAGATCGGCCAATTTGTCCATCATTGCCGCGAAAATCTGGACAAATTTGGCCGATTATTTTCCAGCAGGATCGATAATCCAAAAGGGCAAAAATCATGAAAACCGGCCAACCGATTACCGCACTAACGATCCGAAAATTGGCCGATTTTTTTTTTTTTTTTGGCCGATTTTCGGCCATTTTTCAACCCATCTATGACCCGCATTAGGCTCCGATTACACCATGCAGGCATAATGGAGCATGTGCATTTTAATGGGCTGCCCTAAGAACAAGAAATGTGCAGAAGTCCTTATTTACACATAAATTCCCTGCCCTTCAGGAGACACATAGTAATGCTATTAATACTTCTGGCACCCCAATGCATCTGCTATCGCGTACGCCAAAACATATGGTGCCGAATCACTATGTGTTTCAGTGCGGCAGATTTTTGCGAAAAAAAGTCAAGGATGTTTTGCATGTATCTCACGTGTTGGGCAGCCCATTGAAAAGATTAGGCTGCCATATAACCTGGAAACATTCAATTTTGCCCTTTTTGCACTTGCTGAATTTACATGCAGCTTCAACAAACCGCTATAAAAATTTTTTTTATAAATACAACCAAAGAAATAATTTAGCTTTCATTATCGCTGGTCTGCAATTGTGATGGCATGCAGGACTTTAGGCATTTCAAGCTATTGCAGGAAAACAGGTTCTTGGTCTTGGCAGTCTTTCTTTCTTTCAGTGTGTGTCTTCTAATGTTGTCCCTTGGCAGAGTCCCCTTTTCAGTTTGGCCTTGTGCTACTGGACCTTTATCTTGGAAATATTGGTAGCCGTTCCCACATAGGTGTAACCCTTTCAAGCTGGGTTCCCACATCAGTTTCTATGAGGGATGCAATGTGTCTACAAACTCTAGATGGCAGACTAAAATGCCATAGGTCAGTTATGTAAAAAATAAACAAGTTATTGTTGAATCGTATTGACAGAACTACCCCTAAAAAGTCACTTAGCTTCTGCTATAGCTCGTTCACAATTTCTGCACCGTGTAAGACTCAAAGCATTTCAAGCTATTGTAGGAAAATTGATTCTTGGTCTTGGCAATCTTTATTGTAGTGTGTGGCTTCTAGTGTTGTGCTTTGGCAGAGTCTCTCTTTCAGCTTCTGCTGCTGCCCTTTTATCTTGGTAATTTTGGTACCTGTTCCCACATAGGGTGTAGCCCTTTCAAATTGGGTTCCCCCATAGGGTGTAGCCCTTTCAAATTGGGTTCCCACATAGGGTGTAGCCCTTTCAAATTGGGTTCCCACATAGGGTGTAGTCCTTTCAAATTTGGTTCCCACATAGGGTGTAGCCCTTTCAAGCTGGTTTCCTACATCAGTTTCTATGAGGGATGAAACGTGTCTACAATTTCTAGATGGCAGCGTAAAATGCCATAGGTCAAATATGTAAAAAAAAACAGGCTATTGTTGATTCATATTGACAGAACTACCCCTAAAAGTCACTTAGCTTCTGTTATAGCTGGTTCACAATTTCTGTACCACATGAGACTCCAAGCATTTCAAGCTATTACAGGAAAATAGATTCTTAGTATTGGCAATCTTTCTGTTAGTGTGTGGCTTCTAGTGTTGTGCTTTTGCAGAGTCTCTCTTTCAGCTTCTGCTGCTGGCCTTTTATCTTGGTAATTTTGGTACCTGTTCCCACATAGGGTGTAGCCCCAAATTTCCCACAAAGGGTTCCCTTTCAAATTGGGTTGTAGCCCTTTCAAATTGGGTTCCCACATAGGGTGTAGCCCTTTCAAATTGGGTTCCCACATAGGGTTCCCACATATAGGGGTGTAGCATAGGGTGTAGCCCTTTCAAATTGGGTTCCCGCACATAGGGTGTAGCCCTTTCAAATTGAGTTCCCACATAGGGTGTAGCCCTTTCAAATTGGGTTCCCACATAGGGTGTAGCCCTTTCAAATTGGGTTCCCACATAGGGTGTAGCCCTTTCAAATTAGGGTGTTCCCACATTAGGGTGTAGCCCTTTCAAATTGGGTTCCCACATAGGGTGTAGCCCTTTCAAATTGGGTTCCCACATAGGGTGTAGCCCTTTCAAATTTGTTCCCATAGGGTGTGTAGCCCATAGGGTCCCACATAGGGTGTAGCCCTTTCAAATTGTACCCACATAGGGTGTAGCCCTTTCAAATTGGGTTCCCACATAGGGTGTAGCCCTTTCAAATTGGGTTCCCACATAGGGTGTAGCCCTTTTTCAAATTGGGTTCCCACATAGGGTGTAGCCCTTTCAAATTGGGTTCCCACATAGGGTGTAGCCCTTTCAAATTGGGTTCCCACATAGGGTGTAGCCATTTCAAATTTTAGGTTCCCACATAATTGGGGTGTAGCCCTTTCAAACTGGGTTCCCACATAGGGTCTAGCCCTTTCAAATTGGGTTCCCACATAGGGTGGGGTGTAGCCCTTTCAAATTGGGTTCCCACATAGGGTGTAGCCCTTTCAAATTGGGTTCCCACATAGGTGTAGCCCTTTCAAATTGGGTTCCCACATAGGGTGTAGCCCTTTCAAATTGGGTTCCCACATAAGGTGTAGCCCTTTCAAATTGGGTTCCCACATAGGGTGTAGCCCTTTCAAATTGGGCTCCCACATAGGGGTGTAGCCCTTTCAAATTGGGTTCCCACATAGGGTGTAGCCCTTTCAAATTGGGTTCCCACATAGGGTGTAGCCCTTTCAAATTGGGTTCCCACATAGGGTGTAGCCCTTTCAAATTGAGTTCCCACATAGGGTGTAGTACCCTTTCAAATTGAGTTCCCACATAGGGTGTAGCCCTTTCAAATTGGGTTCCCACATAGGGTGTAGCCCTTTCAAATTGGGTTCTCACATAGGGTGTAGCCCTTTCAAATTGGGTTCCCACATAGGGTGTAGCCCTTTCAAATTGGGTTCTCACATAGGGTGTAGCCCTTTCAAACTGGGTTTCCATATCACTTTCTATAAGGGATGCAATTTGTCTACAAATTCTAGATTGGACTAGCCTAAAGTTTCTAAGGTCACCCTGTCGAAAAGTTCAGTCAATAAGAATCAACAATAACCTGAAGTACAGGAACGCTCCAGTGTTTGACAAGAGCTCTTCTAAAACAATGGCAACAATCAAAACATCTGCTTTCCTGGCCAGTAGTTTTTGTTGCCTGCATATACCACCATGGTAGCTCGTTTTCCAGTGTATCAAAGGAAAGCAAAACTAGTCTTGTGCAAACACTTCTTGATTTAACAAGGGCATGTGTTTGGGAGATGCTGATGTCTGTTAATCCCTTCTCTTGGTATGACCACTGATGACAGGTCCACTTTAAATATTGGCAGCTTTTACTTTGATATATTGTATTTATCTGTTATTTTTGTGTTGTAGTAGCTCATGTTATTGTTCCTGCATTGGTTATTGTCCTACATTGTGCCATGTTCCCTCCTCCCCCATACTGAACTTTTCTTCATATGTGTTCCTTCTGTCCAGTCCTGGATGAGGAGGAGGTGTTACTGGCGGAGGAGACACTGAGTAATCACACCGACCTTGTAGACAATGAGCCCATCGCCAACGAGGCCCGCAAAAAGTTCATCAGGTCAGTGTGATGTGTGTGAATGATCTACATGATGTGTGAATGATCGGCATTATGTGTGAATTATCGGCGTGATCTGTGTGAATGATCAGTGTAATTTGTGTGAATGATCTGTGTGATTGTGTGTGAATGATCAGTGTGATTTGTGTGAATGATCAGTGTGATTTGTGTGAATGATCAGTGTGATTTGTGTGAATGATCTGTTGATTTGTGTGAATGATCTGTGTGATTTGTGTGAATGATCTGTGTGATTTGTGTGAATGATCTGTGTGATTTGTGTGAATGATATGTGTGATCCGTGTGAATGATCTGTGTGATTCGTGTGAATGATCTGTGTGATTCGTGTGAATGATCTGTGTGATTTGTGTGAATGATCTGTGTGATTGTGTGTGAATGATCTGTGTGATTTTCTGTGTGATATGTGTGATCCGTGAATGATCTGTGTGATTTGTGTGAATGATCTGTGTGATTTGTGTGAATGATCTGTGTGATTTCGTGTGAATGATCTGTGTGATTCGTGTGAATGATCTGTGTGATTTGTGTGAATGATCTGTGTGATTTGTGTGAATGATCTGTGTGAAATTCAGATCTTGTACTTTTGTGGTGTTTTATGATTTATTCCATGAGGTGACTCATTTGTGTCCTCCAGGCAAATCAGCGTCCTGTCATCGGACTCGGATCCGACGCCGCACGCCATGTCAACACGGAGGAGGGTCTGTGAGAGGAAGATGTCTGAGACTGCGGCAGTGAAGAAACCGCCGGTGGAAAAACTCATCCAGACAGAGACTACCGAAACTGGGAGGGTGCGTGAAATATATTCTCTTCAATCTTAAAGAACAACTCCAACCTTCCCTTCAGCCTTGCAGAGTTGTACAGACCCCCCTCCTAGGAACGCCCACTCCTCCAGACTGACATCCACCTATCAACACATTTTAACATTTGCATAACTCCTCCCAAGAGCCAGCCCACTACTTACATCAGGGTTCTTGACAGCGAGTACTGGAAGACATGTATGCGATGATGTGGGGGAGACTCTGGGGACACAGATGTGGGGGAGACTCTGATGGGGACACAGATGTGGGGGAGACTCTGATGGGGACACAGATGTGGGGGAGACTCTGATGGGGACACAGATGTGGGGGGACTCTGATGGGACACAGATGTGGGGGAGACTCTGATGGGGACACAGATGTGGGGGAGACTCTGATGGGGACACAGATGTGGGGGAGACTCTGATGGGGACACAGATGTGGGGAGAATATGATGGGGACACAGATGTGGGGGAGACTATGATGGGGACACAGATGTGGGGGAGAATATGATGGGGACACAGATGTGGGGAGACTATGATGGGGACACAGATGTGGGCGAGACTATGATGGGGACACAGATGTGGGGGAGACTCTGATGGGGACACAGATGTGGGGAGACCCTGATGGGGACACAGATGTTGGGAGACTTTGATGGGGACACAGATGTTGGGAGACTTTGATGGGGACACAGATGTGAGGGAGACTCTGATGGGGACACAGATGTGGGGAGACCTTGATGGGGACACAGATGTGGGGGAGACTCTGATGGGGACACAGATGTGGGGAGACTTTGATGGGGACACAGATGTGGGGAGACTCTGGTGGGGACACAAATGTGGGGGAGACTCTGATAGGGACACAGATGTGGGGGAGACTCTGATGGGGACACAGATGTGGGGGAGACTCTGATGGGGACACAGATGTGGGGGAGACTCTGATGGGGACATAGATGTGAGGGAGACTCTGATAGGGACACAGATGTGGGGGAGACTCTGATGGGGACACAGATGTGGGGAGACTCTTATGGGGACACAGATGTGGGGGAGACTCTTATGGGGATACAGATGTGCAGGAAGGGTCTGATGGAAATATAGATGTGTGGTGAGGCACATTTATTCATTTGTAAATAACTGATTTTTTCGGCCTGTGAATATTTGCAGAATTTGCGATGCGCCCCTCTATTGAACAGTCTGGAGACCCCTGCTGTAGGGTGCTCACTGTATAATAATTGGGGGTTTTACATCACCTTCAAGCCTAAAATGATTTTTTAAATTTGCACAAAAGGTACCAAAACTGCCCTGGCAATGAAAGGGTTACCGCACACACACACACATGTACACGCAGCGGCATGCATGTTCAGGCATCAGAATAATGAGCATTTCATTGCCGTTTCCAAAGCTTGCCGGATCAGTGTTGTTGAGCAAACTGAGACAATGTGGACACAGCGGCTACACTTCATGTTCGGACGCCATGGCTGAGTAATGTGCAGTGGAAAGCGGTCTTGAGGAGTTCTTTTTATTTAATGAAATTGACTTTCAATGACTTTATTTTTGTCTTAGGTGAAGATGGCGGTATTCTGGCAATATATGAAAGCGGTCGGCCTCCCAGTTTCTCTTTTTATTTGCTTCCTATACTGCTGCCAGAATGCGTCTGCCATTGGCGCCAACGTGTGGCTTAGTGACTGGACTAACGAGCCCATAGTCAACGGAACGCAGGCAAATACACAGATGCGAGTTGGCGTTTACGCAGCCCTTGGATTGTTGCAAGGTGACGTATTGATATGAATGAAAATGTGGTGTATAATCTCTATTAATGAATAGTGGTGAATGTTGGTGTGTACCGAGATCCCCACTCCTATGACCAGGGGCGGACTGACCATTTGGAAACTCGGGCACTACCCAAGGGCCCGGGGTCAGTAGGGGGCCCCATGAGATGCCCCTGGTACCTTTTTCATAGGCTTTTTTGAGTTTGGGCAAGGACACAGGGGCCCCATGATCCCCTATTGCCCAAGGGCCCCATGAGTTGTCAGTCCACCCCTGCCTCTGACCATTGACCTGTGTGACCACTCTCCACCTCGCTATACAGGTCTGCTGGTAATGACGTCCTCCTTCACATTGGCCTTGGCGGGTATTGGTGCTGCCCGAAAGCTGCATGTGGCCCTCCTGGACAATAAGATGCACACGCCGCAATCCTTCTACGATACGACCCCGATCGGACGCATCATTAATCGATTCTCCAAAGACATATATGTGATCGATGAGGTCATCCCACCAACCATCCTCATGTTCCTGGCGACATTTTTCACGTCCATCTCCACCATGATAGTGATTGTGTCCAGTACACCACTCTTCGCTGTTGTCATTATACCTCTGGCGTTTGTCTACTTCTTTGTACAGGTGAGTGAAAGATACTAAGAGGAATTAAAGATCTTATAACTGGACCCACAAGTGTTAGTGTGCCGTAGTACTGGGGTCATTGTTCTGGAACCCCAAGTGTCAGTGTGTCATAGTACTGGGGTCCCCAAGTGTCAGTGTGTCATAGTACTGGGGTCCCCAAGTGTCAGTGTGTCATTGTTCTGGGGTCCCCAAGTGTCAGTGTGTCATTGTTCTGGAACCCCTAAGTGTCAGTGTGTCATTGTTCTGGAACCCCAAGTGTCAGTGTGTCATTGTCTTAGAAGCCCCAAGTGTCAGTGTGTCATTGTTCTGGAACCCCCAAGTGTCAGTGTGTCATTGTCTTAGAAGCCCCCAAGTGTCAGTGTGTCATTGTCTTAGAAGCCCCAATTGTCAGTGTGTCATTGTCCTGGAACCCCAAGTGTCAGTGTGTCATTGTCTTAGAAGCCCCAAGTGTCAGTGTGTCATTGTTCTGGAACCCCAAGTGTCAGTGTGTCATTGTTCTGGAACCCCAAGTGTCAGTGTGTCATTGTCTTAGAAGCCCCAAGTGTCAGTGTGTCATTGTTCTGGGTCTCCCAATTGTCAGTGTGTCATTGTTCTGGGTCTCCCAATTGTCAGTGTGTCATTGTTCTGGGACCCCCAAGTGTCAATGTGTTGTTGTTCTGGAACCCCCAAGTGTCAGTGTGTCATTGTTCTGGAACCCCAAGTATCAATGTGTCATTGTTCTGGAACCCCAAGTGTCAGTGTGTCATTGCTCTGGAACCCCCGAGTGCTAGTGTGTCATTGTTCTGGAACCCCCAAGTGTCATTGTTCTGGAACCCCCCCCCCCCCCCAAGTGTCCGTGTGTCACTGTTCTGGAACCCCCCCAAGTGTCAGTGTGTCAGTGTTATGAAACCCCAAGTGTCAGTGTGTCATTATTCTGGAACCCGAAGTGTCAGTGTGTCATTATTCTGGAACCCCAAGTGTCAGTGTGTCATTGCTCTGGAACCCCCAGGTGTCAAGTGTGCCATTGTTCTGGAACCCCAAGTGTCAGTGTGTCATTGTTCTGGGGCCCCCAAGTGTCAGTGTGTCATTGTTCTGGGGCCCCCAAGTGTCAGTGTGTCATTGTTCTGGGGCCCCCAAGTGTCAGTGTGTCATTGTTCTGGGGCCCCCAAGTGTCAGTGTGTCATTGTTATTGAACCCGTACCTGTTCATCAAGGAAATCACTCCAGACATTGTTATTTAACCAGACCTTCTTTTATTAAAGTAATTCTGTTGTATGTACAGTTAATTATTAGTTTCTATAGGAACACATTATGGTACAACTGTAATGCCACCCCCACAGAAGCCGCTGGATATAATGTCTCTGTAATTGAAGTTGACACACCTGGCTCATCCAGCACTTACCTACACACCTTGGGCGTTTTTAACAATTTATATAAACAGTTACAAACTGAAAAAGACAATTAGCATGTCAAAGAGCACACAAGCGACAAAACAATAGACAGTATTTTGTATGGAAGGAATAATAGCTAAGCACTAGCAATGCTCTGTTCTAGTAATAGGCAACTGTATGGATAGCCTGTGCTAAATGCCAAGAGGAAAAAATGGCTAATTATAGCGGCTAACCAGTCTTTTTTCCACTAGCCAGTGGTAGATGAGATACGAACATTGGCTGGCAGCGGTGGGGCACTTTTAGAAATAACCAAGTTTAAGTAGGGAAGAAAGTCAGCTTGCTGAAGTTTGCTGAATAGCATTCTCATTCTCCCCTAAAATAAGTGTTGGGCTTCGGTATGGCTGTGGTGCGCATACTATGGTTGTGCTCGTTTCCCACAAACTGGATAACAAAGACGCAGTCCTGAGTCCCATATCAAGGTCCCACCATGAGGCAGCCCCACTTCTGACGCAATGATTACATCCTCATCACCTCACTTCTAACTACCAAGAGCCCTGAGGCCCCTGAGTTACCAAACAGTAACCTGTAATGAATGTACAGTCCTTGCTCCCCTTCTTCCTGGATAGGACAACCTGCCCCCACTTGTTGAGACAAACACGCCGCCATATTGTGTCATACTCCTGGCCAGAGGCCTTAATATTTGAAATAAAGGAACGTCCGCACACAGATGCATTTTTAACACTCTACAGCAACGTCACATCATCACACATCTTCCCGTGACATATCACGTTTGACACACTAGAAGAATCTTTGGCACTGGACCCTTCCCAAGGATAGGCAATCTGTAGCAAGCACTTTAGTGCAGAGAACAGCTCACATATCTTAAGCCATCTTCTGTTCACTCTGCCATTTTCTTTGGGAGCAGTTGGGACCACCTTCCAGCTTTTATCACCAAATCACAGGACCCGCAGGTGAGAGTCAAGAGGATTATGGTGCTTCCTTGGTATACCAGTCATTTCCCAATGTACCTTCTATAGCATTGCCAGCTGGGCATGCTCCCATATGACACACTTATTTCCAGGCTAGTTCACCTTCACCAAAGAACTGCCTATGCAGGTAAGGGGCGTCTGGGGAAAAAAACAAATTATGTGTCTCTGACTAAAGTTGAATAATGTCCTTGCTATAGGTGTAGGCCATCTACATCTTGAAGCCTGACTGGAATACTCCCAGGATGTTGGAAGTGAGGCCTAGTCATTACTGCCCATCTTCACCATCACAGAAGCTTTTCTCTGGTTCAGACCTCCTCACATGCCCTATCTCTCCCCTGATGCAGTAGCTCTGAGTTCAGCATCTGAGACCTCAATCCTGTGTTGGAGGAGGTGAGCAGTAACATGTAGGCCTCACTTAGCAACGTTCTGGGAGTATTCCAGTGAGGCTTCATGAGGTATGTGACATATCACGTTTGACACGCCAGCAGAATCCTTGGCACTGGACCCCACACAAGGATAGGCATTCTGTAGCAAGCACTTCAGCGCAGAGCACAGCTCACATATCTTAAGCCATCTTCTCTTCACTCTACCATTTTCTTTGGGAGCAGTTGAGACCACCTCACTACATATACCAAGTCCACAGCTTTTAGCTTCCATCACCAAATCACAGGACCCACATGTGAGAGTCAAGAGGATTACGGTGCTTCCTTCGAATACCAGTCATTTACCAATGTCCCTTTTATAGCGTTGCCAGCTGGGCATGCTCCCATATGACACACTTTTTCCCAGGCTTCCACCACTACTCAAATATGAGCATTCTATACAATATCTCGTTATTCTAGGACCCCCACATGTCAGTAAGTAATTTTTCTAGGACCCCCAAGTGTAAATATTCCATTATTCTAGGATCCCCAGAAGTGTAAATATCTAATTGTTCTGGTACCGCCAAGTGTCAGTGTGTCATTTGTAGTAATGCTTTTACATATATACTTTTTATAGCATGGTGTAATCCATTTGTATTATATTGTATATCCCGAACAATATGAAATGTTCAGCTAGTGTCTTCTCCCAATCATAGAGGTTCTATGTGGCTACTTCGCGGCAATTGAAGCGCCTGGAATCGGTCAGCAGGTCCCCCATATATTCCCATTTCTCAGAGACCATCACAGGTGCCAGTATCATCAGGGCATACGGGAGGCAAACCAGTTTCATCCAACTCAGTGACAACAAGGTGGACGAAAACCAAAAGAGTTACTACCCGGGCATCGTGTCTAACAGGTGAGAGATCCTGGTGGATCATTGCGACCCTTTGGATTCAGAAATGGTTTCTTCTGCTGATTTTATTACATAAATTCCCTCCTCCATGTTTTTTTTTTGTTACTCTTGTGATTGCTCTCTTTCTATATTAAATTTTTGCTTTGCTGCTTTAGCCTCTTCTGTCTCTTGCTCTTGGGGTGAGGGAACTGTCATCTCTGCCTCTTCTCTTTCTGCAGTTTGCTCTGTCGGATTAAACCTCTCCATCCTTATTCACAGTCCAATCAGGTAAACCTCATGCCATGCTGTTCCTTAAATAGGCCTTGACCCCAGTTATATATCAGTTCCCCCATAGCAAACTCTTTCCACAAGTGTTGTTGTAGCAGACCTTAATGGGACAGTTCACCTTCGCCAAAGAACTGCCTATGCAGGTATGGGGCGTCCAGGGGCGGACTGACCATTTGGAAACTTGGGCACTGCCCGAGGGCCCGGGGTCAGTAGGGGGCCCCATGAGATGCCCCTGGTACCTTTTTCATAGGCTTTTTTGAGTTTGGGCAAGGACACAGGGGCCCCATGATCCCCTATTGCCCGGGGGCCCCATGAGTTGTCAGTCCACCCCTGGGGGCGTCTGTGGATCAAAACAAACTATGTGTCTCTGACTAAAGTTAAATAATGTCCTTGCTATAGGTGTAGGCCATCTACATCATGAAGCCTGACTGGAATACTCCCAGGATGTTGGAAGTGAGGCCTAGTCATTACTGCTCATCTCCACCATCACAGGAGCTTTTCTCTGATTCAGACCCTCTCCCATGCCCTATCTTTCCCGATGCAGTAGCTCTGAGTTCAGCGTCTGAGACCTCACTCCTCTGATGGAGGAGGTGAGCAGAAACACGTAGGCCTCACTTAGCAACGCTCTGGGAGGATTCCAGTGAGGCTTCATAAGTTACGTAAATGGCCTACACCTATAGCAAGGGCATTATTCAACTTTAGTCAGAGCTGCACAGTTTGTTTTTATCTACAAACACCTCTGCATAGGCAGTTTTTTGGCAAAGGTGAACTAACCCTTTAAAGTGTGCCTGATCGTAAATTGTTATTATTTAAAATTTATTTATTTTTATTTTTTTTGACAGGTTTAATGCTCCACCTGCCAAATCATAAAGCCTCTCTCCTTTATATCTAAATTATTATAGATGGTTTACTGCAAGTCTCCAAACTTTCTAAATAAAGTTTAGGGGGGCAAGACTGTGGCCAGATGGACAGTTAGAGAAGAAAATGCCCAGCCATCAGTGGGAAAAAATAATGCCTAATTGGCATTCTGGGTTGTAGCCGTAAGAATATTACATAACACCTGTAGACAGTAGACGTTGGTGTCAGTGTGATCATTGGTGTAGTGGGAGGAATAGTGCACCATCATTGGTGTCAGTGGGAGGAATAGTGCCCCATCATTGGTGTCAGTGGGAGGAATAGTGCCCCAATGTTGGTGTCAGTGGAAGTAATAGTGTCCTATCATTGGTGTCAGTGGGAGGAATAGTGCTCCAATGTTGATGTCAGTGGAAGGAATAGTGTCCCATCATTGGTGTCAGTGGAAGTAATAGTGTCCCATCATTGGTGTCAGTGGAAGGAATAGTGCCCCAATGTTGATATCAGTAGAATTAATAGTGTCTTATCATTGGTGTAAGTGGGAGGAATAGTGCCCCAATGTTGGTGTCAGTGGAAGGAATAGTGCCCCATCATTGGTGTCAGTGGGAGGAATAGTGCCCCATCATTGGTGTCAGTGGGAGGAATAGTGCCCCAATGTTGATGTCAGTGGAAGGAATAGTGTCCCATCATTGGTGTCAGTGGAAGTAATAGTGCCCCAATGTTGATGTTAGTGGAAGGAATAGTGCCCTATCATTGGTGTCAGTGGAAGGAATAGTGCCCCAATGTTGATGTCAGTGGAAGTAATGGTGTCCTATCATTGGTGTCAGTGGAAGGAATAGTGCCCCAATGTTGATGTCAGTGGAAGGAATAGTGTCCCATCATTGGTGTCAGTGGAAGGAATAGTGCCCCAATGCTGATGTCAGTGGAAGTAATAGTGTCCTATTATTGGTGTGAGTGGGAGCAATAGTGCCCCAATGTTGATGTCAGTGGAAGGAATAGTGCCCTATCATTGGTGTCAGTGGGAGGAATAGTGCCCCAATGTTGATGTCAGTGGAAGGAATAGTGCCCTATCATTGGTGTCAGTGGAAGGAATATTGCCCCATCATTGGTGTGAGTGGGAGGAATAGTGCCCCATCATTGGTGTGAGTGGGAGGAATAGTGCCCCAATGTCAGTGATGTGCCCCAGTGGGAGGAAATAGTGCCCATCATTGGTGTCAGTGGGAGGAATAGTGCCCCAATGTTGATGTCAGTGGGAGGAATAGTGCCCCAATGTTGATGTCAATGGGAGGAATAGTATCCCAGGGGCTTCATGGGAGGAATAAAAAAAAAAAAGAGCTTGCACCCGGCCTATGAGTCGTAGTTCGGAGGCCACTGGTTTAGGGTGTGAATTAATTTGCCATCAGTTATGTTCCGAGATATTGAAAAACAACTAAATACAATGCACGCAATTCAACTATAATACTGGGCAACACATTTTTTCAAACGTTTTGCTTCCTGAAAAATGTTTGGATTTTAGATTTCCACAGATATTGCAGTTGTACTTGGTGTACTGGATGTGCTTCAACAATAGTTCCATGTTTTGTATGTTTCTTTCATGTGTGCAGAATAGCCAACTGGTATTTGTAAAAGCGACCTCTAAGATTTGATATAAAAAGATTTGAAAGAAGAAAGTACAGTGTTTTTTTGACAGGCAACCATAGGTGGACCCTTACCACATGGTACGCCCCTAATGCTCCAAGGTATAAGCAGTCCAGTCACCAACTGGACCCAAAGTGATGTATTCCCTGTGCCCTAAAGAAGGGGGTTCCCATTAGCCTCTTAGATACTTTAGAGCAGTGGTTCTCAACCTTCCTAATGCCGTGACCCTTTAATACAGTTCCTCATGTTGTGGTGACCCCCAACCATAAAATTATTTACCCAGTAATTATAATTCATGAGTGTCGTTTTACCTCCAATACTGCTGCTTTCAACACAGTAGCTGCTTTTAACAGAGTAGCTGCTTTCAACACAGCAGCTGCTTTCTACACAGTAGCTGCTCTTTACACATCGGAAATATGTGTTTTCTGATGGTCTTAGGGGACCCCTGAGAAAGGGTTGTTCGACCCCCAAAGGGGTCGCGACCCACAGGTTGAGAACCACTGCTTTAGAGAGTGCTGGGGATGAGCTCATTGTTTGGATATTCATCTGGGATGAGCATGACAGCTTCCTCCATCTGTCAATGGTTGTTATAGCAGAAGTAGATCCTTGCACCTGCTGTGTCTTTACCAAGCAATGATGTCACCTTGCCTATTCATCTACATGAGCAATAGGACATGGATCAGAAGGGTTACATCATTGACTAAGTATGGCCATGGTCATATATGGCCAATGATGTCACCACCACCACCCCTTCTCTTATATAATTGATGCCAGCTCAGGAAGCTGTCAGCCATCTAGTGGTACTGCTGTGATTGGTCTTGTGTGGCAGGTCGGGTGGTGGCAGGCATTGTGATTGTTAATGTATTTACAAGGAACATTTTTGGAGGATTTTTTTGTGTAGTAAAGAACTTGTCAAATGTTTGGGTGTCTCTATTTCTAAGTCTAGCTTACATCTTTTTTTTTTTTTTAATTGAGAATGAGTAAGGGTAATATGTAGGGATGGCGGTGTCTTGGGTCTAGCTTACATCTTTTTTGTATTGTTAATGAGTAGGGGTACTAGGTACAGACTTGCGGCCCCCTTTTTACTAAAGGTGGCTTCCAGATTTGATTAAGTCCCTCACCACAAATCCTGATAACCATCAGCCACTGTTGTGGGGAAGAGACCCTTGTCCTCCTCAAGACAGGGACAAGGTATCCTCATGTTGAAGGCATGTAGATTGGAATGGTTCACAAGGGGGGGGGGGGGGGTGCACGTTCATTCTTACCCCCATTCCTGGCCAGCCAGGATGTATGGTCAGAATAAGGGTCTGATATGGATTATTTGGGGAACCTCACAATTTAGTTTTTTGTGTGTATGCAGATCCACCATACACAGGTATGGTAGGTATTTTTTCTTTCTTGCTGTAGGATGTGCTACAGGAAAAAAAATACATTTACAAAGAGAAAAATCAGCACACAGACCTCTGAAAAGTTCCCCCAAAATACATAGAAGACCCTTGGAGGGGTCCGTGTGCGAGCAATTTTAAATACTTTCTTCCTTTGTAAATGTCTGTGCTGCTCAGGGGGGCGGACTGACAACTCATGGGGCCCCTGGGCAATAGGGGATCATGGGGCCCCTGTGTCCTTGCCCACACTCAAGCTACACCCAAAAAAGCCTATAAAAGGTACCAGGGGCATCTCATGGGGCCCCCTACTGACCCTGGGCCCTCAGGCAGTGTCCGAGTACCCTAATGGTCAGTACGCCCCTGGTGCTGCTGCAGCACTTTCTGTACATTGCAGAGATGCACCTTCAGAGGCAGAATTAGGACACCCCAGGCATGTTATTTAAAGGAATTGAACATTTTTAATGCTTCACTTTAAGGCTTTGAAGTGTTTTTGTGTTAAAAAAAGCACCTGAAAAAGTTCAAGAAAAAATGCTTCCCTATGTATGTGAATGTATATCTATGTATGTTTTCACACCAAGGCATTGCTTTGCTGCTGCGGTGTAAAAACTCCTCCTTGCAGCATCTTTGGGGCATGTTTGTTGAGTTTAAAAAATGCAGCACAATGCCTCTTCCCATTGAAATCAATGGAAAACGCCTGAAAAATGCCTAAAAAAAATGCCTCTGAGAAGCGTTTTTGGTGCAGTTTTTTCAATTCACATGTCCTTTAAAAAATGCTCAGAAAGCACGGCAAAAGCGTAGTAAAAATGCCTATGCGTTTTTGCAGCAGATCAGTATGAAAGTAGCCTAAGTATCTAAAAAATGTCAATGCCAAATAGAATTAAAATTTTCTTTTGCACTGGTACATGTTCCCACAAGCAGTGATAAACCCCTACCCCCCTTATTTTTTTTTAAACCCTCTTGAATATTAGCTCAGAAAATTGCCATTTTTAATTTGATGAGTCGGCTCCCTTTTGGTTTCAATAGGGTTCGGGTTCGGCAACTAAACTCCTTTGATGTCTGCCGAACCCTATTCAAACTGAACCCAGGCTCAGGGGCGGACTCACCATTCGAGCTCTCGGGCATAGCCCGAGGGCCCGGGGTCAGTAGGGGGGGGCCCCATGAGATGCCCCTGGTACCTTTCATTGGCTTTTTCATAGGCTTTTTTGGGTGTGGGCGAGGACACAGGGGCCCCATGATCCCCTATTGCCCAGGGGCCCCATGAGTTGTCAGTTCGCCCCTGCCCAGAGCAGTTTGGCTCAACCCCAGAGATCACTTTGTTCTCTTAATCAATAAATTAATTCTTCACTACTTTTTACAGTGCTCCTCACCCACTGACACCCAATACTTTCTGGAATGCCCTTCACATGCAAGGAGCATATAACCTCTCCCGCCCCAGTCTTTTTTTTTTTTTTTTCTGCATGGTTATCTCATATCCCAGTTACAAAGTAATTGAAATAGTCCAATCATAGTTCAGTTTACTGTAGTCATGTGAGCAAAAGGCCAAAATCTGTTTGGTTGTTGTTGGTCCATCTTTCATCTTTGCAGTTTGTACTTGTGTGTTCTACAGACAGTGGAATTAATGTAGCAAAAATAACCTTTCTAGTTGATTACTATTATATTTTTGTGTTTCTAATATTAAATAGGGTTGGCATCTCCCTATCAGGGGCGGACTGACAACTCATGGGGTCCCCGGGCAATAGGGGATCATGGGGCCCCTGTGTCCTTGCCCAAACTCAAAAAAAGCCTATGAAAAAGCTACCAGAGGCATCTCATGGGGCCCCATACTGACCCCCCGCCTTCGGGCAGTGCCTGAGTTTCCAAATGGTCAGTGCGCCCCTGCTCCCTATAACCCTCTCCATGGCATAATCCATTAATGGTACTGAGATCTCAGTCTGTCTTCTGACCTCATTGTCTTCCCATGCGTGGTCACCAGACGTCGAACCAAGCTGTCCATTTATTTTCTTTCAACCCTCTCACATTATATCACTCATTTTTATTACATGCATCAGTATCACAAATATCACGAAACAAAGAACAAACCTGAATGATGATATCTCTGTTCTGTTTTGTTGGCAGGTGGCTGGGAATACGGGTGGAGTTTGTTGGGAATTGTGTTGTCCTCTTCGCAGCTCTCTTTGCAGTCATTGGTAGAGAGAAAGCCTCACCCCTGGAATTGTGGGTCTCTCTGTGTCCTATGCATTGCAGGTAAAAAATAAAAAAAATTTTTTTGTGTTATAAAATAGTTCTATAGTTGGATTGAAGACACTTGTGCTTCGAGTTCCACCAAATGCCAAAATTAAAGTGCACCTATAGACAAGGTTTTTTTCTTTAGATTTAGGACTAATTTACACTGAGCTTTTAGAGGCACTTGACTTTTTTTTTTTTTTTGTATTTCAATGTTTTTTATTCATTTTAAACATTTTAAACAAAGAGAGACGTAAGCAAAAGGTACACCCACACAGGGGCTATCAATGGCACAGAAGACTTTTTTTTTTTTTTTTTTTTTAAACACACCTCTTTGATGGCCTATGTGTCCAAGCACACATAAACGTTTACAGGCTGAAAAAATCCATCACCAACGAATTCAGGAGAGGAGCATTTTGGGCTGAAAAAACTTTGACCAGGGGCGGACTGACCATTCAAGCACTCGTGCTCTGCCAGAGGACCCGGTTCAGTAGGGGGCCCCATGAAATGCCCCTGGTACCTTTTTTATAGGCTTTTTTGGGTGTGCTTTGAGTGTAGGCAAGGACACAGGGGCCCCATGATCCCCTATTGCCCGGGGGCCCCATGAGTTGTCAGTCCGCCCCTGACTTTGACCTACCTAAATTCTTGAAAATGTACCTAAAGGCTAGACATGTCTAATGCTTCAGCGTTCATTTATTCTGAAGGCCAGAATAATCTAATATTCTGGCCAATGTGATTCATAAACACTCAAACGCGTGACACGCCTGTATGTATGTAAATTCACCTAAACACATGCAAAGCGTGGCTTTAGAGCTTTTCTCTTGCCAGGAGAAAAGGCGTTCATGGGGGCTGAGTAAATTCCAGTGTGCATGAGGCCTTAGGCTTCATTCATACCAAATAGGCTTTGGTGCGGCAAGTATGTTTTGGGAAAACTACAGTTGGGAGCAGGGGTGGACTGACAACTCATGGGGCCCCTGGGCAATAGGGGATCATGGGGCCCCTGTGTCCTTGCCCACACTCAAAGCACACCCAAAAAAGCCTATAAAAAGGGTACCAGGGGCATTTCATGGGGCCCCCTACTGACCCCGGGCCCTCAGGCAGTGCCGATGCTTGAATGGTCAGTCCACCCCTGGTTGGGAGCCCAAGTGTATGTGGACACAAGGACAGATGCTTGCCCCTGGACAGATGATAGCACCTAGATGCAAAGTGGGGAAATCTTTTATGTAACAGATCTCCTCATAGGAAGATTTCCTATTTCTCCTCTTATGACAACTCAGAATTGATGACTTCCCATCACTATATATCTCAGTGACACAAAACAAGTTGGCTGAATGTCCAAAATCTTTCCCTATTCCATCCAAAGTTAAAAAAAAAAATTCCCTTGCATTCCTTTTAAAGTTGTTGCATCCTCAGAACCCCAAACCTTGCAGATGATCCAGAGACAGGAATAACAGAAAGATAAATTAATCAGCAAAAAGGTTTGTGTGTTAATTTGTTTCCTTCATTCATCGATAACAGGTGACCATGTCACTTAACTGGATGGTACGGATGACTTCTGACCTGGAAACAAACATTGTGGCAGTGGAACGTGTCAAGGAATATTCTGAGACAGAGACAGAGGTCAGTAAAATCAACACTTTGCATTTTTTCCCCTAAATTGTGCATAATCATTTGGAATGTTTACTGGAAAGGTTTCATAGGTGTGAGCCATTATGGCTTTCGTTCTGTAGAAGAAAGCAGTGTTCTGTATGCTTTGCTGTATTAGTGAAACGCGCTTAGCTTTAAAATTGCCCATAATCTCACTTTTTCCAGGCTCCCTGGAGGATAGACGATAAGAAGCCGGAAGAGAGTTGGCCAAGTAAAGGTGAAGTCGAATTATCCAACTACTCTGTCCGGTACAGACCTGGCTTGGATTTGGTACTGAAAAACTTGAACCTGAAAGTTAAAGGAGGAGAAAAGGTAAACATCCCAATTGCCCCAACACCCTGACATTTTCACTACCATGTGGGGGATTTATCGTGATAATATAAAGAGCCAGAAAATATAAGAAATTATTTATAAGGCAAAAAATGTCTACTGGTAACGAGAGGATCTCCCCGTGCTGAGATGGAAAACCATGTATAATATCACTACTAGCAGCTGAACACCTAATTCTAAACTTGTAGGTAAATAGATATTAGTGAAAAAGGTGGTATAGTGCTCAGTACCAAATGCAATACATGTAATAAATAAAATACATTAATAATAGTGACACTATGTACTCACAATTCAGGTCACAGCAGACCTAGTAGGTGACTAAAAGTGAACCCAATCCCATAGAGGGATCAAAGTAGCGTGACCCCTAGTCCCCACAATTGGGGTTTCAGCCTAAAATAACGTGGATCCCTGTTGAGGGACAAGTGCTAATCATGTGCACCAAAATCACAAATGTATTGCCAAGTCCAATCATAAGGTGGATGTGTAGACACAGCTGCAGTGCTCTAATCTTCCAGATCATGCATAAATGGTCGTGACCCACCAATAGGTGCTCTCCAAACAATGGCTTAAGTGGCCTCTCACCTCCACTCATCGACCCCTAGGGGCCATAGAGCCTTATGGATCTCTAATTGATCCTTCTGATACAGGAAATCCTGGTGGTCTAGTGACAGGGCTGTGACAGGTATATAGCCAGCAAGAAATCCTCACCAGGAAACCCTCCAGATTAGTAGTTAGACAGACACAGGTACGCTCCAGGCAAAAAAAATTCAGCAGGCCTCCTCTGTTGCCACTTCCACCAATGTCTCCTTGCAGCAGGATTTCCTGTATCAGAAGGATCAAGGAGAGATCCATAAGGCTCTATGGCCCCTAGAGGTCGATGAGTGGAGGTGAGAGGCCACATTAGCCATTGTTTGGAGAGCACCTATTGGTGGGTCATGACCAGGGGCGGACTGACCATTTGGAAACTCGGACACTGCCCGAGGGCCCAGGGTCAGTAGGGGGCCCTATGAGATGCCCCTGGTACCTTTTTCATAGGTACCTTTTGAGTTTGGGCAAGGACACAGGGGCCCCATGATCCCCTATTGCCCGGGGGCCCCATGAGTTGTCAGTCCGCCCCTGGTCATGACAGATTATGCATGATCTGGTAGATTGGAGCACTGCAGCTGTGTCTACACATCCACCTTATGATTGGAATTGGCTATATATTTGTGATTTTAGTGCACATGATTAGCACTTGTCCCTCAACAGGGATCCACGTTATTTTAGGCTGAAACCCCAATTGTGGGGACTAGGGGTCACGCTACTTTGATCCCTCCATGGGATTGGGTTCACTTTTAGTCACCTACTAGGTCTGCTGTGACCTGAATTTTGAGCACATAGTGTCACTATTATTAATGTATTTTATTTATTACATGTATTGCATTTGGTACTGAGCACTATACCACTTTTTTCACTAATAAAAAATGTCTACTTTTTATTCATAAAACCTTTATTTGGTGCAATGCAATATGTGTATTATTTTTACTATAGTTCTGTTAAATTTGTCCAAAGATATTTGATGAAAAAAGTATATAGTGACTCACACTGATTAACTGGTCATCACACATACTATATAATCCAAAGTACGTGAAACCTTTTCCAAATTACTGAGTTTATTTGTTTTTCCAGTGAAGTGAACTGATAATGCTAGAGCATACAAAGATATCGTAGACGAATATGCACCTCCAACCTCGCTGTAACAATTTTGGTGAAGACCCTTTTCTGTACCACCATGACTCTGCCCCTGTGTACAAAGCCAGCTCTATAAAGACATAGTTTGACCAGTCAGGTGTGGAGGAACTTGAGTTTCCTGCATAAAGCCCTGACCTTAACCCTAAACACCTTGTTGATGAATTAAAACAGGGCCTAGGTCTACTCATTCAGCATAAGTATCTAACCTCACAAATGGGCACACATTTCCAGGGAAATCTTCCAAAATCTTGTGGAAGGTCTTCCCAGAAGAGTGGAAGATGTTGTAGCCACTAATGGTCAACGTTATATTAATGGCCATGGTTCTGGAATGGGATGTCCAACAAACTCATATGGCTGTGAAGGTTAGGTGTCCACAAACTTATGGCGATATACTGTATGTTTATCAACATTTCCGATTATTCTTAAGTCTGGAGAAATGCTAAGTGCTGTAAAGTCAACGTTCAATTAGACATTTGCAAGATTTTTATTCTAAAATAATTTAGATGTGAACATTATTGTTTCTTCCCACACTCCATAGACATGCTGGTGGGTTAATTGGCTCCTGCCTAAATTGGCCTTAGTACAGTATGTGTATGTATGAATGTGACTTAGGGACCTACATTGTAAGCTCTTTGAGGGACTGATGAGAATGTATAATACATATGTAAAGCTCTGCGTGACTTGACGGCGATGTAAAAGTTCCTGAAATAAATCAAATAAATAAACTGGTGCCAATATAATAACAGGATCTCGCAAAGAGAGAATTTGTAGGTTACATGATGGATGGGTGATGATGGCTGGTGTAATTTGGGCTTTGTGATCATTTTTTGATTTGCCTAGGTTGGGATTGTGGGAAGGACGGGAGCAGGAAAGTCTTCCATGACGCTGTGCCTGTTCCGGATTCTGGAGGCTGCTGAGGGAATTATCACCATCGATGGTGTAAATATTGCTGAGATTGGTCTTCACGACCTTCGATCTATGCTCACTATTATTCCACAGGTAAGATAGCAATCATCTGTAATGCACCTGAGGCATCTAATCAGTCTGTTCTCTTATGAAAGATGTAACCAAATTACTGCAGACTATTGTTACTGCCCTGGCTCTTGGGCTATGCCCCACCAGTTACCTACCTCTGTCCAGTGAGAGCACATCAGAGGCCAGTAAGGGCACTCTTATTTTACAGGGTGCAGGCATTGGGTGGGGTTCACTTTACCATAACCCCAGTATTCTACTTCCAACCGAGGACATCTTTTGACTATGGCCCGGTTGGGAAGTGGTTAAGGTCCAACAAAGCCTGATCTTAAGGGGTGCCATCCTCTGCTGGAATGTATATGTGATCTTATGGTCAGATTGTGTGTGTGTAACGTATTTGCATATGTACCTGAGCACCTGGATTGAGCAGGATCATAACAGTCTACAAGGCAGTGCGCATATCCCAGGGTATAGTCACCTGAGCTATACATTTACTGCAAGTAAAGCCACAATGGTGATAATGCATCTTAGAGTTTGGGCACACTGACCTACAAATGGTAATCTTCTGTTTTTCTATTCCTGTGGGTGTCATATCTTGTAGGACCCGGTGCTATTTTCAGGGACTCTGAGGATGAACCTGGACCCTTTTGATAAATATTCTGATGATGAAATCTGGAAAGCACTGGAGTTATCCAACTTGAAGAAGTTTGTCACCAGCCAGGCAGAGAAGCTGGACTATGAGTGTTCAGAGGGTGGAGAAAATCTGAGGTAATGATATGACCGGTGCTCGGGAGATTACATTACCTCTTGTTTTTAGGCAGAGGTGAATTTATAATAATGGCGCCCATGGGCTGGTGCCCAAGGTAGAGGGATAGAGAGGACAGCATCAAGACTTAAAAAATACATATTGGAATGACGTTTTTTTTCTTATTTTGTTTTCCATTTATGGATATTTTTTGGTTAAAATCAGCAACAGAACTGTAGGGAGGGGTGCAGGGGATGGTCAGAGGTGTTACAAAACTATTATTCAGGTGACATGGAACCATCACGTTTCCATTGTTTGGTCTGTACATTATACAGAGCAAATCACATGCTGCACATTTTAGTTTTTACTAAAATAATCATGCCGCACAGAGCGAAGCTTGCACAAATAGGTGCCTTATGGGAGATTGTATGCTGGGACATTAAAACTTGCTTGCTGATTGATGACGGTGCTCAGATATGTCCATTTATTTTGTAGGTGCAAGTGTTTATGTTGTGAAATAAGTTACTTTCCACATCCTCCACTAATACTCTTACCTTTCAGTGTTGGTCAGCGTCAGCTGGTTTGTCTAGCCCGAGCTCTCCTCCGTAAAACCCGCATCCTCGTTCTGGATGAAGCCACAGCCGCCATTGACCTGGAGACTGACGACCTCATCCAAATGACCATCCGGACACAGTTTGAGGACTGCACAGTGCTGACCATCGCACACCGGCTGAACACCATCATGGATTACACAAGGTACACACAGCATGTATTTATTTCATTCTAACCTAATTTTGCAGCAAAAATCAATGATCTTGCCAAAAGTTTTAGTTGAAAATAACCTCAGATTTTCCCATGCAGACTGTGAAATTTGCTTGAAAGAATTGCCTGGCATTGATTTGTAATAAACCCATGGGGATTACCATCTCAGGGACAGCTGCAACATTCAATGGGTATCTAGACGTGCACCTTTCGTGAGGCCTTTAACCACTTCCAGTCCGGACATTTTCACCCCCTTCCTGTCCAGGCCAATTTTCAGCTTTCAGTGCTATCACACTTTGAATGACAATTGCACGGTCATGCAACACTGTACTCATATGAATTTTTTTGCATTTTTTTGAGACAGATAAAGCTTTATTTTGGTGTATTTATTCACCACTGGGATTTTTATTTCTTTTGCAATATAAATTAAAATAGTGTTTTTCTTATACAATTTTGCAAATAAATAATATTTCATCATAAATCTTGGCCAAAATGTATTCAGTTATCTTTTTAGTAAAGAAACAAATAACCCAAATTAGTTTATAACCAAAAATTATAATTTTTAAAAAAAACATTTTACATTTTTTTTTTTTTTTTATTATTTGTTTTTTTTCTACATACTGTCACCCTAGCTGTACAGTGTCACCATGGTGAAGCCAAGTGCTGTCAAGTGCTCCAGTCCCTGCTGCAGAGAAACCCCCCATAACAGGATATTACCCCCTCCATGCTTTACTGTGGGAATGGTGCTATGTGGATGGTGAGATGGCCAGACCAACCACCGTGGGCTCATTTTTTGCTGTGTGCTTTGGGTCATTGTCATGTTGGAAGGTAAACCTTCTTCCCGTTGACAACTTTCTTGCAGAGGGCAGCAGATTTTCCTCAACAATTTGACGGTATTTTTCCCCATCCATTTCTCCTTCTATCCGGACAAATGCTCCAGTCTGTGCTGCAGAGAGGCCCCTCATAACAGGATATTACCCCCTCCATGCTTTACTCTAGGAATGGTATTATGTGGATGGTGAGATTGCCAGACATATCATTTAGTGTTGAGCTCAAATAATTAAATTTAAGTCTCATCTGACCAGAACATGTTTTTCCGTGTGGCCTCAGCATCTTCATGTTGAGTTTTGGCAAAGCTCAGTGGTGATTGCATGTGGCCTTTCTTGAGGAGCAGCTTTTTTTCTTGCAACCCTCCCATACAAGCCACATATGTGGAGAACCCTCCCATACAAGCCACATATGTGGAGAACCCTCCCATACAAGCCACATATGTGGAGAATTTATAATCTTGTTGTCACATGCGCACAATGGCCACTCTTTGTCATCAATTCCTGAAACTGCTTCAGAATTGCTGTAGGCCTCTTGGAGGCCTCTCTGGCCAGTTTCCTCTTGGCTCTTTTGGAGGGTCTGCATTGCACCAAATACCTTCCACATCTTGATAATAGATTTCACTGTGCTTCTAGGCATTGATAAAGCCTTTGAAATTTTTTTGCATCCATCACCTGACTTGTGCCGGTCCACAACTTTATCCCGAAGATCTTTTGACAGTGCTTTGCCACCCATAGTTGATTGTTTGCTTCAGTTGCTCCAGGAGAGCCCTTTTCAAGCTGACCGGGGGCGGACTGACCATTCGAGCACTCGGCCACTGCCTGAGGGAACTGGGTCAGTAGGGGGCCCCATGAAATGCCCCTGGTACCTTTTTATAGGCTTTTTTTGAGTGTGGGCAAGGATGTAGGGGCCCCATGATCCCCTATTGCCCGGGGGGGGGGCCCATGAGTTGTCAGTCCACCCCTGAGCTGAGCTAATCAAAATTACCACAGCTAATCAAAGCTGAAAGTCAAATGGCTTGTGATTGGCTACACCTGATCAAATTTACAAGTTATTTTTATGAGAGGTGGTGATCCTTTTCCAACTTAGTGATTCTGTTTTTTATTTATTTTTTTTTTTTTTGTGTTGGTGTTATATCTTTCACTTAGATGTTATAAGCTGCACTGAGTAAATACAGCTGGATAAAACAAAAACTGTATCTGTCTTCATTTTGGGCTGCAAAGCAACAAAATGTGATTATGTTAAAAGGGGGGGGGTGATTCTTTTCTATACCCACTGTATGTGAGTGCATTTTTCCTTGCCAAAATCACATTTATTCCTCCTGTTCCAGGGTTCTTGTCCTCGACAAGGGGAGAATAGCTGAATTTGATACGCCTACCAACCTCATAGCATCAAAAGGAATATTTTACGGCATGGCGAAGGATGCTGGACTGGCCTGAATGTATTTTCTTTTGTTCCAAATGTTATGTTACAGATTGTCTTTTTTACAGCTCCATTTTGTAAATAATATCGGCAAAACTGGTTTATTTTGAGTTCTCTTGACATATCAAAGAAAAAAAATATTTTTAAAGGGACTGCCTTTTTTTTATTTTCAGACAACACATATATATATTTTGACCGGACAAAATAGAGTTAGGACTATTTAAATATTGTACAAAATACTGTATGTGTCCAGATTTACTTACAAAAAGAAAAATAAATTATATTCACTTTTTTATAAAAACCTGTTTTGTTTATTTTTAATAAATTATATTCACTTTTCTTAAAATTTGCTTTTGTTATTAATAAATTATATTCACTGAAAAAAAAAATCATCAGCTTTTACTTATTGACTGGATATGAAGCTAGAAAACTAAACTTTGGAGGATGTAAATCCTTTGAGTAGAAATGTTACTATTAACATGACAAGATTTTAGTCTGATCGGGCAATTGTCATGTTTTGGTCACTGTAGACCTTGATATTACATTTTTAGAGGAAGCATTGAACGGCTGAAATCCCATCTAATAGTCTATCTAAACCAGGCGCAGACTGACCATTTGGAAACTCGGGCACTGCCAGAGGGCCCGGGGTCAGTAGGGGGCCCCATGAGATGCCCCTGGTACCTTTTCCATAGGCTTTTTTGAGTTTGGGCAAGGACAAAGGGGCCCCATGATCCCCTATTGCCCGGGGGCCCCATGAGTTGTCAGTCCGCCTTAGATTCTAAACCCAACTCCAGTTGGACTAAAGTCCAACTCCAAGCAGAAAAAAAAAATTATCCCTTGCAGTAGGGCACATGTGTCAAACACAAGGCCTGCAGGTCAAATCTGGTCTCCAAGGCCATTTCAAGAGGCCCTAGCACCTCTCCTGTACCCTCATCGTCCCTGCTTCCCCACCGCAGCAGTTGGCAGCAGAGAGGAAGACAGAACTCCTCCTACAGATACTACGTCTTTCTCTGCAGACGCAGAATCCCCTCATCTCCACCTCCCCTGGTCTCAGCATTCAGCAGACTCCAGAAACTGACTCAAGTCCTCCTCCAGACCAGGGGCGAACTGACCATTCAAGCACTCGGGCACTGCCCGAGGGCCCGGGGTCAGTAGGGGGCCCCATGAAATGCCCCTGGTACCTTTTTTTATAGGCTTTTTTGAGTGTGAGCAAAGACACAGGGGCCCCATGATCCCCTATTGCCGGGGGGCCCAATGAGTTGTCAGTCCGCCCCTGCTCCAGACCCTGCACTTTCTGCTTCTCAGCTTCTTCCTGGCAGCAGCACAAGGTAAGGGGGCTGCTCTGTGATGGGGGGGATTAACTTCTGATGGTGGAGTGGCTCTGGACATCTGATGTAAGGGAGGGTGACTTGTTCCGGACATCTAGTCTTACAGATACAACCAGCCCTTTGAGGGCAACCATAATGCTGATGCGCCCTGCAATCAAATTGAGTTTCACACCCATTATCAAGGGGAGAGAAGAAACCATTTTACTTACCTGAACCTCAGCTCTCCCGGCATGCGGTGGTATTCCCCCATGATCCAGCAGTAGACTGTCCATCACCATCCTGCTCTGCTTTTGATGGCATCAGGACCCTAGACTGCAGGGAGGAGTGGATGATAGGATAAGTAGATCTCCTTTTTTTTGTTCCCCAAGACCAGGGGTGTCCAAACTATGGCCCTCCAGGTATTGAGGAACTGCAAGTCTCATGAGGCCTTGCAAGACTCTGACATCCACAGGCAAGACTGAGATGTCAGAGGCATGATAGGACTTGTAGTACTTCAACAGCTGGAGGGCCAATGTTTAAATACCCCTGCCCTAGACATAAACTAACAACTAACACTTGCAGTGTTAGTCCGCCCCACTGCATGGAACAATTTTTATTTGCCCAGAGTTGGGCTTTAATTGCTATCCCACGCTCCCCTCTGTGCACAAAGCACTATCCGGGGCTCCCCTCTTTGCATACAGTGCAATCTCCCACTTTATCAGTGATCTCATTGCACAGAGTTCTAGAATAGCTGAGCGTGATGTTGTTGCTCACACTGTGCAGTGATTTGTTTCCTTTTGATTGGAGAAAGGTTAATGTCATACTCAAAATCAGAAAGCGGACTCAAAAGCAGAATTCTCGCGTTCAAAAATTCTAAATATAGAGATAGATTTTTATATTTGTGACTTACATACTTTTTGAAATCGGAAAGCCATTATCTGTTCTCTGGAGTGAAAGTGATGATCCTGAGAACAAGAGATTACACTCAATGACTGTGTGGGTCCCATATCATGGTCTAGACCAAGGGTGTCAAACTGGTGGCCCTCCAGCTGTTGCAAAACTACAAGTCCCATCATGCCTCTGCCTTTGCGAGTCATGCTTGTAACTGTCAATCTTGCAATGCCTCATGGGACTTGTAGTTTGGCAACAGCTGGAATGCCGCCAGTTTGACACCCGTGGTCTAGACCTTTGTTTAGGCCATACAAGCGATACAGGCAACAGTATCTACAAATTATGTAAACTGCTTCAGTGTTGAACAACAAGCCAGAGCACTGGAGACTTCACCTCTCAATACCGACAACAGAGACTCTCCTATATCAGGGCAGCCAGCTGGTTCAGGGGGTAGCTGCTCTGCCTCTCATGCTGGAGACCCTGGATCGAATCCCCACAGGTCACTTTATCACTAGACTCCTGGCTGTAGAAAAGCCCCCTACAGCTGGGAGTTTCTCGGACCACAAAAAAGTAAGACCCCTCCTTTTATAGTGGCTGCCAGGTCACAGGCAGCCACTTTATATTGTATAGTCCTAGTCACCCCCATTAACAGGGATTAGCAACTATTCCAAGGAGCCAGCACCGAGACTAGAACCAGGAACTCCAACACCACTGCTGGATCTGCTCCTGGCAGCTAACCCTCTGAGCCAACTCTCAGACTGAGCATCAGTGCAACCTATTCCAATATCCTCTTCAAGTCTACACAACAAATGGGGAATAAATAACAGCCAGCACTGAGATTCAAACCCATCTCAGATTAAATTACTGCTGACACCAGGATTTGAACCCCAGTCTCCCTATTCAATGCACCCACCAATTAACAGGGCAAGCCACCTCTCACGGTTGAAATGGTGAGTTCCAAAGTCATTATAGACCTCTGATTCAGCATTGTGTTCTTATGGAGATTTAGATTTGAGTATCATTGTTTGATTAGCTGCCATAAATGAAAGTATGTAGCTATTAGCCACAAACCCTGATAGAACCATCTATTTTAACCCTATAGGTAATCTTCCTCAAGAGGCTTCCAATATAGGGAAAGGGCAATAAACAGTGCTCTCCAGCAGGCTTCCAATATAAGAAAAGGGCAATAAACAGGGCTCTCCAGCACAGGAAATGAGGGGAAACATCACCAATGGGACAGTAAACCTTTTAAATTATTTTTCAAGGTTTTGCGTGGGAACATTTTTTTTAGAGGGAAGGTGCACTTTGACATCACACAATTCCAACCGAAAGCTATCTTCCTTCCCAAAAAAATGGTGCTCCCACATACCCGGCATCACCTGCCATTGGGGATGGTTATTAACAGGCTCTGGGTTCCATTATAGTCGATGTAGGCACAGGGTGCACATGCAGGTTAAATGTATGAAGAAGAGTACAGGCTGCAGAGTACTGGGAAGACAGACCTATGATCACTGTCCATGTAAATTTTTTCATTTATCTACAATTTGCAAAGGATGGCATAGGAGGGGTATGCAGTGACATACAATTTCAGTTGTTTATAGAATTTCAGAAACAGTCAGCCATGATCTCTCCTGCCCTGCCTCTTGGCACCTGTAAATACATACATGTTTATTCCTATTGAGAAGGGCTGGAAGGGGCAGTCAGATACTCCCGAGGGCTGCTTTTCTCTGGAGAAACCATGTCTGATCAGGTGACTGCCATCTTGGGTCTATAGGCACTATGTGACATTTAAGATGGCCATACACATAATTTGATAAACAAACATTCCATCCATTTTTTTGGGGAACACAGAGCAGTCAAATACAAACTTAGTGGGCTTTATCTGCCACAAAAAGATGGGTCAAAATTGTCCCATTGACTGCGGCAGAAAAAGACGATCACTTTCTGATTTCCATAGTGTTTTCCAATTTTAGTTCCATTAACTTTCAATAACCTACAGCTGAATCTGCCATTTTGTGTCCAGTTTCTAATTCACTCATTGACTAAGTCCTAGCGGTCAATCAAAACTCATGGGTGGTAGATACTTCGTTTATGATGATTACTTGCGATCATATCCATGATGGAAAGTGGTTGACATACAATGAAAATTGTTATAGGTATGGCCAGTTTAAAGCACAAACTCCAAGCAAAATGTTTTCCCATGCAGTGGGGCTGTGACCAGGGGCAGACTGACAACTAATGGGGCCCCTGAGCAATAGGGGATCATGGGGCCCCTGTGTCCTGGTTGAAAAAACTTTGTGGACGCTATTTGCATTAACATGGAAAAATTCCCATCCCATTTGTGTATGTACTGCATCCAGGGACGGACTGACAACTCATGGGGCCCCCGGGCAATAGGGGATCATGGGGCCCCTGTTTCCTTGCCCAAACTCAAAAAAGCCTCTGAAAAAGGTACCAGGGGCATCTCATGGGGCCCCCTACTGTCCCCGGGCCCTCGGGCAGTTCCCATTTCCAAATGGAGTCCGCCCCTGGCTGGACCCACTACATGGGTTTATAACTTGTTTTGTCAAGTGAGAATTACGGAGCCTGCACTCGCCTGATCCATTTTGCTTCCAGCAGTGGGTTCTTGCCATCCTCATGTCCAGAGCTGGGCTAAAGTCGTGATGACATCAGGAGCAGTTCACCACACAAGACGGCTAGATCGCAGGGAGGGGCAGGAGTGGCAGGGGACGGTCTTTGGGAGGATCACCAGATGAGGCGAGTATATTTCAGCTCTCCAATCCCATAGAAAAAAAATGAGCAGGTAACCGAAGTATGGGCACAGCCTCGTGCATCGGGAAAAAAATGCCCAGAGTTCAGCTTTAAGGCATAAAGCTGTGATCTCCAAACTGCAGCCCTTTGCTAGCCTTTATCTACCCCTTGGGGTGATTCTTCCCACTGGCACCGACAATGGGGCAATTTTCCTCCCAATAACACCAAAAATGGGGCACTATTTCCCACTCAATGATGGGGCACTTTTCCTCGCACTGACTCCAATAATAGGGCATAATTCCTGCTACTGACACCAATGATGGGGCACTATTCCTCCCACTGACACCAATGACGGGGCGCTATCCCTCCCACTGGCACCAATGACGGGGCACTATTCCTCCCACTGACACCAATGATGGGGCACTATTCCTCCAACCGACACCAATGATGGGGCACTATTTCCAACCGACACCAATGATGGGGCACTATTCCTCCAACCGACACCAATGATGGGGCACTATTCCTCCAACCGACACCAATGATGGGACACTATTTCTCCCCTAATACTAAAGATGGGTCATTGTTTACTATCACTGGCCATCTGGACCCTATAAAGTCTGAAGGACAATACACTGGCCCTTTGTTTAGAAAGGCTGGAGACCCCTGGCATAAAGGAATGAGCTTCTGAAGGTAAAATCACTCATTTAAGAACTTATCCAAACCAAACACAGCAAGTGATAGCATGAAAATTTGTATTTATGCAACACTGATGTGAAAGTGGAAAACCCAAATACTCCTACGCTTAGGGATGTACTCTATGTCATAGGGATCACACAACATGTCTTGGAATATGTATGCCTTGCTGCCCTCAAAGAACCAGGCAGTCCAAAAGTAGAGAAAAACAAAACAGAGGGCGCACCGGCCTTGTGCATTACCTTTGTATGTTTATTAAATTTAAAAGAAGGTATTCTACTCACAAAAGTACATGAATATAAGCACATCATATGAGACCGCTCTGTCCAATTCACACTGCGTTTCTGAATGGTGGTGAGAATGATAGACTTCCAAAATTTCTGATGCGTTTCGAGAACTTTTGAGGGTTTTCGAGGCTCTGAGGAAGAGGCTAGTCCTCGAAAACGCGTCAGCCATTTTGGATGTCCATCATTCTCACCACCATTCAGAAATGCAATGCAAATTGGACAGAGCGGTCTCATATGATGGCTTATATTCATGTACTTTTGTGAGTAGAATACCTTCTTTTAAATTGAATAAACATACTTTTAAAGGTAATGCACAAGGCCGGTGCGCCCTCTGTTTTGTTTTTCTCTATATGTCTGCCAATCCCTCCACTGGCTTCCCATTGCCCAACGGATAAAATTCAAAACATTAACAATAACATATAAAGTCATTTACAAATCACATCACCAATCTTGTCTCCAAATATCACCCAAACCGTACTGTCCGCTCCTCGCAAGACCTCCTGCTCTCTAGTGCCCTTGTCTCCTCCTCCCATGCTCATCTCTAGGACTTCTCCAGAGCTTCCCCCATCCTCTGGAACTCTCTACCCCAATTTATCAGACTATCGCCTACTCTGTTCACTTTTAGGTGATCTCTGAAAACCTATCTCTTCAGGAAAGCCTATTGCCCCAGCTAATAATGGAATCTTCTACTCTTCCAACCCCCATCCCCCACAGTTACTACCTTTTGCACCACTGGCCCCTCCCTCCTAGATTGTAAGCTCCCAGGATCAGGGCCCTCCTAACCCTCTTGTATTGAACTGTATTGTTGCTGTATTGTCTCCCGTTATATTGTAAAGCGCTGAGCAAACTGTTGGCGCTATATAAATCCCGTATTATTAATTATTATCATTATTATAATAATAATAATTGGGGGCAGCACAGTGGCTAAATGGTTAGCCCTTCCGCCTGGCAGTGCTAGGGTCATTGGTTTGAATCCCAGCCACAGCACCACCTGCCTGGAGTTTGCATGTTCTCCCTGTGCCTGCGTGGGTTTCCTCCAGGTACTCCGGTTTCCCCCCACACTCCAAAAGACATGCTGGTAGGTTAATTGGCTCCTGTCTAAATTGTCCCTAGTATGTGTATGTATGAATGTAAGTTAGGGACCTTAGATTGTACGCTCCTTGAGGGTTAGGGACTGATATAAATGTACAATATATATGTATAGTGCTGCGTAAATTGACAGCACCAGGGGCGGACTGACCATTTTGAAACTCGGGCACTGCCCGAGGGCCAAGGATCAGTAGGGGGTCCCATGAGAACATATCCTTTTTTGAGTTTGGGTAAGGACACAGGGGCCCCATGATCCCCTATTGCCCGGGGGCCCCATGAGTTGTCAGTCTGCCCCTGGACAGCACTATATAAGTACCTGAAAATAATAAATAAATAATAAGTGCAACACTCACTGAAAAGAAACTAAGGACCCATTCAGACGTTTCTAAAATGCTTGCATTAATATACATTTCTGCAACACCCCCGCTCTCTCTGCGGTGTGATTTGTTGTGAAAGGCACCCCAATACATTGGAAAGTGAAGCACAACGCACCAAATGAGAATTGTGTACACTTTTTTTGTACATGAACGTATGCACATGGGCGTTAGTTCAGCGCAGTGGAAATCGTTAATGTGAATGGGCCCGGCAAAATGAATGGATAAAGTCTAAAAGAACACTCAGTCACCCTGCTTGAAATGTCATCAACACAACCACAACCGGGACACATGATGACATTTAGTGAGGAACATGAAAGAAATACAAGCTAGACTAGAGCACAGCACCGAGATACATGTCATCATCACAGTGATATATAGCTGGAGATCTTTAGTACATGTGATACAGTGAGAATAGGTTACAAGGATAACAAAAAATGTACGTCCGGTCAACCGGTCACAGGGCTATGAACTAATCAGCAGGTATATCATTACATAGCAATATCAAGGCAATAAAACGCAGTGGCCATCAAAGGCAAGGACTGAAAACTCAATAATAATAATAATAATTCCTTAATAATCAAAAGACAAGGGTACACACAGAACACGGCTTTCGGTGAAGTAATATATTTGATAACGTTTGCTTGATATGTATCATCGGTCACAACATGATATGCATAGGCCCATTTACACCTTTTCATGCGTTGAGGTGCATTATAGTAAGGCATCCCATTAATTTTCTTAGTAGCATGACTGCTGTTAGAAACCACGGGGCCCCATACAGCCAACCTGATAGGGCCCCCCTCCCCCCAAAAAAAAAAAAAAAAAAAAACTGTTTACTATGCTTCACTTTTAATGAATGGTGATCAGTACTGATCACTCATGGTGTTCATTCAGGAAAGGAAGGAGATGGTAAATGTGCCATATTTACCGGACCCTTCCCCCATTCTCCATCCTGAAGAATCCTATTGTGCGCTTGCAGCTGCCAGTGGGAAGGAGAGGAGGGAAGCTGGAAGCACTGGGGAAGTGGGGGTACACAGAGGGGCCTGGGCAGCAGGGGGAAACATATGGTGCAAGGGAGGGTGATGGGTGCTCCGGGGGCAGGGGCGGACTGACCATTTGGGAACTCGGGCACTGCCTGAGGGCCTGGGGTCAGTAGGGGGCCCCATGAGATGCCCCTGGTAGCTTTCATAGGCTTTTTTGGGTGTGGTTTGAGTTTGGGCGAGGACACAAGGGCCCCATGATCCCCTATTGCCCGGGGGCCCCATGAGTTGTCAGTCTATCCCTGTCCAGGGTGGACAATTACTGGAACCGATCCCCTGTATGGCTCTCTCTCTCTCAGCAGCAGCTGAAAGCCAGTGGGAAGGAGAGAAGAAAGGCCAGCTTTCAGCTGCTGCAGAGAGAGCCATGCAGGGGATTGGTTCCAGTACTTGCTCCCCCATGCCGACCACCCTCCCTGCCCACATTTACCCAGCTGGCCTGGGCCCAGTACATGAGGACCGGTGGTACCCCCCTTATCCATGGCCCTGTTTGGGGGTGTGAGCTTTGAAAGAGGTAAGTACTTTCTTCCTAGATCTATCTCATTTACAATTTATTTCTGACAGAGTCAATTTAAGGAGGACTACCTATTTACTTAGCTAAGCAAACATGTTTAAAAAAAACCCTACAAATTTTCCTTGCAAACAGCCAACAAGCATGGAGAATCCCAAATCACACGTTAATGTTTAAGTCAAACTGGATATACAATATTAGTAAGTTAGGATAAAACCAACGGATCTCCGAAACTGTCCTGCATCAGGAAACATTCAAAAACTCTCAATATTTCAGGATTTAAAAAATGTCAAATCCTGAGCCTGGACAGTTTTGGAAGCCCCAGAAATGTATGAAGGCATTGCGCATGCTTATACGGATATTGATTACGGCTGGCTTAAAATTTCTTTCAGAAGATCACACGTTTTACTGTGAATGACTTCACGCAGTTTACGCACACGGCGAGCACTCCACATGCCAACAAAGCTGTGTGGTTGTAGGACAGCCATGCCATTATGCACATCACCCATAATAATGAGCCGACCACTAACAGATGTCACATTGGGACACGGACAGCTCCAGTCCATGTTCAGCAGGGTAACTTCCAGCGGTTGCTTTCCAAGAAACTTAAGTCCCATTTTTTCATCTTTCAGGATATCTTCAACCGAGACCAGGGCATTGCCCGTATCTTGATCTTCGGTCAGCTCAATGATGCGCCCCAGAATGGCAAAGTCACTTTTGCAGAAGCTAGTGACCAGTTTCTGCCTAGGTTTGCACACTTTGCACTTCTGGTTCTTGGGGAATGGACACATGTCTTCACACATCTCTTTGCTTTCAAAGTTATTTTCATTGCCTCCGCAGCCACCATAGATGAAGGACTGGCATTGGCTCAGTAGTTTGTTATAAGCCCATCTTGGCTCATAGGCCTTACAAGGGCCTTGTAGAGCAGGGTAATTGCAGAAGTTGACGGGTCCATTCATGCAAGTCATCATACACAACTCATAAGTTTCAAAGTGGTTCAAGTTGCTGTTGCAGTTACCATACACAAAAACAAAACAGTTGTTTTTCTTGGCATCAAAGTACCACCGAGTCTGCTCTTCCCCACAGTCCTCACTATCCGGTGGCTTCAGACACTCATCAGTTGGAAAAAAAGTCTTGTTGGATTTTTCCTTAGCAGGTTGTTCTTTGACCGTCAAAGGGAAGTTGACCTTGATGAGGCCTCCAGTGTTCTTAGCTGTACACATGTAGACACCAGCATCTTGTAACTGAGTGTTGTAGATAACTAGCTGAGCAATGTTGGTGACCACTATATTTGCAACAACATGGTTGGGTCGCATGACCAGATTTTCCTTCCCCTCTACTTGTTTCTCCCATGTTATTTCTGGTTTTGGTTTGCCAGTGACGTCACAGTGAAAACTGACAGTATCCCCTACATGGACAGCCTTGTGCGTTGGGTTGCTGACTAAAGTGGGTGGAATCACATTTATGATGGCCATCTCAACAGAAGGAATGGTTGGGTTAGCAGTTGTCTCAGAAGGCAATGGGCTTGTATGCGGCCAAGACAGGTGATATTTACAGGTGACCACAGTTAATGTGATACCCTTGGTACAGGCTTCAGCATCCATAAAGCATTTGTTGTAGTATGTAAGTCCATCAGAGGCACAAGTAAAGCTGGGTTCCTTCTCACACCTATCCCTGCATTTACAAATTGGTTGCCCATCCCAAATGTCGCACTCGGAGCCTTGCTGGGTGCACATGAAGAGGTCGCACGTTGCTTCCTTTGGCATTCCGACCGGACCTTTCTTTCCTTTCACATCCATGTATCGCGCTGCCACACAGCTCTTAGTCCCACATACATTAGGGCAGCACTTTTCATAAGTCTCACATTCCTACAGAAAAACAAAATATGTTACAGCTTCAGATCTGATTTCAAGAACACAGTTTCTTTAAACATTCCTCCTCTGCTCTGGTTTCTCAATTTCTACTTCGAACAACTAAACCTACCAGTATTGTCACTAGATTAGATATTGGAGTTATACTGGTGTCTATACTCAGGAGAAATAGTCCAACAGGAGATTGTGAATTACATCAAAAACTAAATCTGTATGCAAAGTTGCACAAAAGCCAACATACCCAGTCTGATGCAGGCTGATCTCACAAGGTCCTTCGGAGTGATTGTTGCACACCATAAATAGAGTAACTATTAATGTGCCAAAATCTATTGCAGCAAAAAGACTCGCCGTTCAGGAAGCCACAATAATAAGGCAAGAAGAGAACTCTTCAGTGGCTTATTATATCTGAATCGTCAAATTTACCAGCACACCATAATGTAATAAAAGTGTTTAGGTGTTTTTGTGTTCATTTTTGCATGTCATAAAGCTGATTTTTGGGGCTGATTGGAATCTCTCTTATAGTGTCATAAACGGCTTCAGAAAAACGGGCCCTCTGTGGCCCCAAAATGTCATATTTGTGGCATGCACAAACCATTCTTGTGGCATTATGGTGTGCTGGCTTTTTTGATGATTCTGACTACGGTGTCTCTTTATCCCTAGACTTAACGGATATCAGGGGTGGACTGACAACTCATGGGGCCCCCGGGCAATTGGGGATCATGGAGCCCCTGTGTCCTCGCCCACACCCAAAAAAGCCTATGAAACAGCCAATGAAAGGTACCAGGGGCATCTCATGGGGCCCCCTACTGACCCCGGGCCCTCGGGTAGTGCCCGAGATCTCAAATGGTCAGTCCGCCCCTGACTGATAGACAATATAAAATGAAACTTTTGGCAAAATAAAAAATGACATATGATGCAGTCTGTCAGTAGCATTAATATGGTAGTTTTCAATTGAGTCCCTTCTGTAACAGTTTTATTACCTCTTGATCCTGCTAATAGATCTATTATTTTTCCACTTCCTGTAATAGGGTGACAACACTGTTCATTCTGAAGTAATAAAAATAACCCAGCAGCAATGTTACCCTATGTACAGGGTAGTCTTACATGGACACATAATTTAAAAATGACTTTTTTTTTTTTTTAATTATATTGTTTCTTGGATTGTATTTTGCATTGTGTTTTGTATGATACTTTGGAAAAAGTTTCAATAAAAAGATAAAATCTATAAAAAATTGGACTTTGAAGATTAGTTCCAGGCACAGTACATTTTTACTTAGTTACATTGGTCCAGCTTGGACCAGACTGGCTAGGCCACTCCAGGACATTAATGCGTTTCTTCATGAGCCACTCCTTTGGTGCCTTGGCTGTGTGTTTTGTTTCATTGTCATGCTGGAACACCCATCCACGACCCATTTTCAATGCCCTGGTTGAGGAAAGAAGGTTCTCACCCAAAGCAGAATGACCACAGTCACCAAGAAAACAATTGATTACACACTACGCTGACAAGGATTGAAATCCTGCAATGCCTGCAAGGTCCCTCTGCTCAAGAAAGCACATGTCCACGCCCGTCTGAAGTCTGCCACTGAACATCTGAATGATGTAGAGGAGGACTGCATCATTCTAGCCAGTTTTTAGACCTTAATCCGATTGAAAATCTGTGGAGGGAGCTGAAAGTTCGAGTTGCCAAATGTCAGCCACATCTGCAGTTTGCCACTGAACATCTGAATGATGCAGAGGAGGACTGGTGGAAAGTGTTGTGGTCAGAGGAGACCAAAATTGAGCTCTTTGGCATCAACTCACTCGCTGTGTTTGGAGGAGGACGAATGCTGCCTATGACCCCAAGAACACCATCCCAACTGTCAAACATGGTGGACGAAACATTCTGCTTTGGGTATGTTTTTCTGCTAAGGGGACAGGACAACTGCACTGCATAAAAGGGACGATGGACGGGGCAATGTACCGCCAAATCTTGGATGAGGACCTTCTTCCCTCAGCCAGGGCATTGAAAATGGGTCGCGGATGAATGTTCCAGCATGACAATGACCCAAAACACACAGCCAAGGCAACAAAGGAGTGGCTCATTAAGGTCCTGGAGTGGCCTAGCCAGTCTCCAGACCTTAATCCGATTGAAAATCTGTGGAGGGAGCTGAAAGTTCGAGTTGCCAAATGTCAGCCACCAAACCTTAATGACTGGGAGAGGATCTGCCAAGAGGAGTGGGCCAAAATCCCTCCTGAGATGTGTGCAAATCTGGTGACCAACTACAGGAAACGTCTGACCTCTGTGATTGCCAACAAGGGATTTGCCAACAAGTACTAAGTCATGTTTTGTGAAGGGGATCAAATACTTATTTCCCTCATGAACATGCAAATCAGTGCATCATTTGTTAGACATGCATTTCTTTTGAATTTTTTTTGTTGCTATTCTGTCTGTCAGTGTTACAATACGCCTACCATTCCATTTTTAGACCGATCATTTCTTTGTGAGTGGGCAAACATTCAAAATCAGCAGGGGATCAAATACTTATTTCCTTCACTGTACATAGTTACATTGGTCCAAGCTGGACAAAATTATCTATGTAAAAAATATACCATGCCTGGAGTTCTTCTTTAAGTAAGAGAAAAACACACTAAAGCCGTACTCCGGCCCACACTTTATTTTATGCAGTGGGGCTGTGTCCACACTGCATGGGTTAAGTGCTTGTTTTGATCAGAGACTCAGGGAAAAGCTGTACTTAAGCTGTACTTATCCTCCGATCCTCTGGAAAACCGTGCTCCCCCATGTCCAGCAGTGGACTCTTCCTGCCATCCTCATGTCTGGAGCTGGTCTATGGGTGGGATGGCGTAAGCAACAGTCCATTCACACGAACGTTAGCATGTGTGGGGGTGTGTGTGGGGGGGGGGGGGGAGCGGGGCAGTAGTGGCAGGGACCAGTCTTCAGCTTGGAGGATCACCGGATTAGGTAAGTATATCTTTGCTTTCCGAGCCCCGAGACAAAAAGGAGCATTTAACCCATGCAGTGCGGGCACAGCCCTGCCGCATGGGAAAATAATAATTTTGCCCTGAATTCTTCTTTAAGGTCCAACTCAAGCTAACACTTTATAAGCAGTTACAGCAACAGTTCATTTTTTTTCCTTTTACAAATTATGTATAAACCATATAAATAAAAGCTGACCAGTAAGCAACTCTGGAAGTTTATATGATTTGCCCCAAATCCCTGTAATGCCCTTTTTTCTGGGCAGCTTGGTCTATTACAGAAAGGGGAAGAACAACAGATCTACTGGCAGGATCAACAGGTAGTAAAACTTACAGGGAGGAGTGCAAAAACAAAAATTGCTGTGACAATGTTGCTGACAGACTGCATCCTAGAAGTCATTTTCGAGGGCAATTTAGAAAAACATAACAGAAGTCCAAAAACACAAGTGTCAATACCAAGCTGGTAATAAATATCAAGTTGGTGTAAAAATTAGATAAAAATATAAATATTTGAGGAAAATTTGGGGGTCTACCATTTCTGGTCACCCGAAATCCCTGATTGCCTATGCCATGCTGACCCCTCTGACTTCAATACTCTGATGTGGAGCAAGCATACAGATCAGTACAGTATGCAGTGGTGTATTTAGGTTTTGTGCTGCCCTAGGCAACACAAAAAACGTCTGCCCCCTACGGACACCGACCAACACCCCCCCCCCTCCCCCTCCCATGGAGAGAACCTGACAATGCTGACATTGACCAACAACACCTCTGCCCCCCACCCGGGTAACCGGGAGAGCCTTCCACTACTTCCCCCCCGGGGATAGAAAAAAAAGACACTCATGTTGACAGCACCCCAGGAATGAGAGTCAGGCTCTACATACATCATCAAGCAGCCCGCAGCCTCTCTCGGATCCCACCTGGTTCCCATGGTGTGCGTGTCCCTTCTTTTCTTCTAGCTCCAGACATCCCCGGGAATGAGAGTCAGGCTCTACATACACCACCAAGCAGCCTCTCTTGGATCCAATCTGGTTCCCATGGCATGCATTTCCCTTCTTTTCTTCACAGCTCCAGACATCCCCAAGAATGAGAGTCAGGCTCTACATACACCATCAAGCAGCCCGCAGCCTCTCTCGGATCCCACCTGGTTCCCATGGCGTGCGTGTCCCTTCTTTTCTTCCAGCTCCAGACATCCCCTGAGAACGAGAGTCAGGCTCTACATACACCATCAAGCAGCCCGCAGCCTCTTTCGGATCCCACCTGGTTCCCATGGCGTGCGTGTCCCTTCTTTTCTTTCAGCTCCAGACATCCCTGAGAATGAGAGTCAGGCTCTACATACACCATCAAGCAGCCCGCAGCCTCTTTCGGATCCCACCTGGTTCCCATGGCGTGCGTGTCCCTTCTTTTCTTTCAGCTCCAGACATCCCTGAGAATGAGAGTCAGGCTCTACATACACCATCAAGCAGCCCGCAGCCTCTTTCGGATCCCACCTGTTTCCCATGGCGTGCGTGTCCCTTCTTTTCTTCCAGCTCCAGACATCCCCGAGAACGAGAGTCAGGCTCTACATACACCATCAAGCAGCCCGCAGCCTCTCTTGGATCCCACCTGGTTCCCATGACAAAGCGTGTCCCTTCTTTCATCCCTTCTTCTGGAGGGAGGTGCTGCCCCCCTAAAAGCTGCCACCATAGGCAAGTGCCTTGTTTGCCTTGTGGTAAATACACCCATGACTGTATGATATGATAAACGGAACTCACCTGGTCGGCGTCACATTCACGCTGGCAGGTGCTTTGCGCGTCCACCCACAGGTTTGGATTCATATCATTGGGACACAGGCCAGCATGGGAGTACCTCACATGCGGCAATGCTTCTCCTCCTCGAAGCAGACTGAAAAGAAGCAATAGGAAAGTCTCCACCGTCAACATCCCGATCCAGGTATAACAAATTATACGCCACATTTTGGCTTGCAGTAATTCACTAAAATTCTAAAAAATGAACAAGTCTGACGGCTCTGTCTACAGGGAACACTGCGATCACCCCGTCTGGTCCGAACTGCACTGGATTAATGGTCTTATTAAAAATAACCCTTTAATTTCACACTTTACTTGCGTACGATTTATTCCATGAATTAATTCGGGAAATCTTGATTTTTCTGACAATACTTTTTTGTGCTCGGTTTAGTCTGTGAATTTCAGAAAAAAAAAAAAGTTGGAAATAGTTTAAAGGATTCAGCATGCCCCAGTAATGTACCCACCCCACCTAAGACCTATTATTGTTCTGTTCACGGGTGAACGGTCTTAATTTATGTAATATAATGGAAGGGGGGAAAAAAAGGAGACGGCGAGCCTTATAAGATATCTGAACTTAATCAGAAGAGACATATTTACATTATACTTTTCCTTATTCAGTTTAGCACAGAAACTTTATGTATGAAATTAGGAGATTAATAAATTCCTCTGCGGTATTATGAATCAACACCGTTGTTCTTTGTTCGATCTCGGTGGAACGTTAAAAGGCGGAAAATCCTAATGAATGAGCTGCCTTCGCACAAGCTATTTTTATGCTATTAATTTCTCTGTCTGAGCCGATTTGGAAAATCCAAAACACAGACTGCCTACTGACGACATTTGGCATCGAGTGCAGGAGTGAAAAAAAACGGGGCTACAATGGGAGCTGGGAACCGTGGGGCCATTCCATTCATCCCGTGAAGGCATCGACTAACCATTCCAACAAATTAACAATGGCCAAAGTCACCCACCTCTCCCCAACTTTGTTTTTTCATTTGCTTGAGAATTTGCAAGGCAGCCTGAGGGGTTAGATAACCACTTATGTATAATTTCAGCTTCATCTGTTATAATGGGATAACAAAAAAGCAACTTGCAGTCCTTACATAGTCTGGATGAAAAAAGACAAAAGTCCGTCTAGTCCTCACCAATATGTTTGCTGGAAAATATCTGAAAGTTCTCACGATGCATATATGTGTCTGAAGGTTTATCGTCTTAACATCTGTGTTGTGAAAGGTTTGTTTTTCACAACAGATTGGATAACTGCAATGGAATTGCAAATGGACAGAAAACTTTTAACATCAAAAGGTTCCTTTTTTTTTTATCAGCTCTGATATTAGATATATTTTTCTAATTAGTGCAGCAGACTAACGTATCAGTGTAACACCTCCACGCAGGGGCGGACTGACCATTTGGAAACTCGGGCGCTGCCCGAGGGCCGGGGTCAGTAGGGGGCCCCATGAGATGCCCCTGGTACCTTTTTCATAGGCTTTTTTGAGTGTGGGCAAGGACACAGGGGCCCCATGATCCCCTATTGCCCGGGGGCCCCAAGAGTTGTCAGTCCGCCCCTGCTTCCACGTATTTATTACCTCTCACAGAGATCATGGTACCCCCCCCCCCCCAATAATGCCTTAATGTGTTTTTCTCTCCAGGAAGGCACCCATCTTTGTTCAAGTGTCTCCTTGACTCCAGACTTCCAGAAAAGGATTTCACAGTGAATACAAGTATCTGTTTTCTTTCTTGTCAATTGATGGGCACATGAAAGTGGTTGTAAAGGCTCAAGGTTTTTTATCTTCATCCATTCTATGAAGGTACAAAACCTTCAGTTTGTAGCAACCCCCCAATACTAACCTGAGCCCCACCCCAATCCAGCGATGTGCACAGGAGCTGTCCCGGGGCTCTGCCTCCTCATTGGGCTGAGACATTGGCTCCTGCCACTGTTAATTACAGCCAGTCTGCCAATGAGGAGGTGGGGGGGGTGGGGCCGAGCTGCAGCTCCATATTTCAATGGACACACTGGGGAGCAGCTTGGGAGCACACCTGCTTGGGTGCCCCCATAGCAAGCTGCTTACTGCAGAGACATCTGTCAGCAAGGAGGGCACAGGAGTGCAGGCAGGGGACCCGAGAAGAGGAAGAGGAAAATTGAGGCTTCTTTGTGCAAAACCACTGCACAGAGCAGGTAAGTATAGACATGTTTGTTCTTTAAAAAAAAAGCCTTTAGTATCACTTTAAAGAGTTTGTAATGCCTTTTTTTTTTTTTCCTTTTAAAATAGCAAATAGGATATACTTACCTGTTCTGTGCAATTGTATTGCACAGAGCGACCTTGAACCTCCTCTTCTTGGGTCTCCTGCCGGCGCTCCTGGCTCCTCCTCTTCTCGGTGTGTCTCCATAGAATGCTGCTTCCTATTGTAGTACACCTGCCAACTCACTCGCTCCTATAGACACAGACTGCGAGGCTCGGCCCTGCCCCCTCATCACAGGATTTGACAGACAATGGCGGGAGCCATTGACAAAGACCGTGAGAGCGGGTAGAAGAGATTTGCTACAGATGGGCACAGCACTGGCTTGAGATTGGGCTCGGGTAAGTATAAAAGGGGGGAGGGGGCTATACACATACCAAAACATTTTTTTACCTTACTTGTTTAGGCTGTACAACCATTTTGAAGTAGTAAAGCAATTCTCTGCAATAAAGTAAAAAACCTTCCAATACCAGTGCCCCCCTCCCCACTTACCTAATTCTCTATCAATTCAACACTGTGCCTGGCTGTAGGTCTCCTCTCCCCTCTTCCTATTCTCACAGGCTTTACTGGAAGCAACAGGTGCCATTGGCTCCTGCTGCTGTCAGTCAAATCTTTTGAGGAGGGTCTATGGATACACACAACCTGGCTCGGGACCAGCGCCCACATGAATGATGAGGAGGAACCAAGAAAGCCAGTGAACATGTGAACAGAGGACTAGGTTGCAGCATTGCAATCTTTGAAAAAGTTGCCTGATGCTGAAAAACTGTAGAAACACTCACTGATCTTGCACAGTGTATGTGGCTTGGATGATGGTCTGCTAGAGATGGTGGAACAAGAAGCCAGCACACCCTTTTGGAGTTCATCTGGGATGAAAAAAATGAAATCAATGTTCCTGAAAACTATATATAGATTGTATAGCGAGCGCTACCTAGATGTACCGTATTCAAATGAAATGCAAAAGCCACTAGAACACCAAAAAGGTAACCAATGGACCTTTCCAAAAGACTAGAGAGATAAAAAGGTGCAGCGCTAAGGATTATAGTGCAAATAACCACTGAAATGTTATGAGCAATATCCAAAACTGTTATGAAAGGCACAATGTGCAAAATAATTGATAATCACAATAAAGTAAACGTCCAGATCACAAGGTATATGTCATTAAAAATCTTGCAGGATCCTGTCTGTGGTGATAGTATACAATCCAGAGGTGAAGACTGTTAAATAAATAGAATGCGCACTCACCAGAAGTGCATATTAAATACGCATGAAAGAAGTTTCCTTTCTCATCAGACCCCTAGGTCATCAGTATTCTGGTCAGGCCGCACTCCACATCGTCCTCTGCTTCCAAGATTCATCAAGCAATCACAGACTTCCGGGGTCCCCCTTTAAAGCAGGCACTGCGGAAGGTGGTGCTCCCGAAGAGAGCCCAATAAGGGACGCCACATAGTGTAATATTGCTTTGATGAACTTTAATTCAAAATGATATTTAAACAAGAAACAATACTGACCAAAAAGATTTTCAGGATGGCTACCAGCGGTGGCTAGATGTGCAGATGCGGTAGCCCTCTTGATGCGTTTCGTGCTAAGCACGTCCTCATAGGGTGTAAGGCTCTCTAATGTTCCTGAAAAACTGTGGCTGAGAGATTTCTCACAGCCCAAACCATATGCAGCCAATGGAAGGAAATTTCAATTTGGACAAATGGATGGAAGAGCAAGGGGGAAGCTGTGTGTCTTTGTAACATCTTATCCCTATGCAAAACCAGGAAAGGTACATTGCAGGATAAGGGCCGCCTATTAAGACACTTGTCTTGCAGAAGTGATGAACACAAAAAACAGTAAGAGCTCCTTAAGAATCAATTTAAAGAACTAGGCTGCAAGCTGAAGGGAAGGAACTCCGAGGTGATATTCTCTGAAGTATTACCTGTGCCATGCAGGGGGAGATTAGAGAACTCAATGCATGGCTAAAGAACTGGTGTAAGAAGGAAGGATTTGGGTTTTTAGAGCACTGGGCTGACTTCTCATTGGGGTGCAACCTATATGCTAGAGATGGTTTGCACCTAAATGTAAGGGGGTCTGCTGTGCTGGGGGAGAGGTTTATGGGAAAGCTGGAGGAGTATTTAAACTAGGATCGAGGGGGGAGGGAGAATTAGATTATAACGGGGTAGACAGATCAGACAGGGTCAGTACTTATTGGTGGGTGGAATGTGGAAAGATGGGGGGAGGGCTGGCAGAGGATAAGAAGGTTCCCATGTTACAAACAACCAGTGGAATTGGTACCATTTGTATGAAAATAACAAATATGCAAAATATGTGTGCACAAAGTGTCAATTAATTAAAGTGTTTGTTCACCAATGCCAGAAGTCTGCCAGGCAAAATAGATGAGGAGTTGGAAGCTTTGGTGCATGAAGAGAATTATGATTTAATTGGTATTGCTGAATCTTGGCTTCATTCTTCGCATGACTGGGCCATTAATAGTCCTGGCTATGTTCTCTTTCGGAGAGACAGAGTAAATAGGAAAGGTGGTGGTGTCTGTCTCTATGTGAGAAGTGATCTCAGAGCGAGTTTGAAAGAGGACCTAGTTGATGGAGAGTGTGATGAGGCTGAAGTATTATGGGTGGAACTGCACATGGGGGTGCGTACTACAAAGGTCATCATTGGAGTTTGTTATAGGCCTCCCAGTGTTAATGAGGAAGTGGAAACTCAGCTCCTTGCGCAGAGATCTAAAGGACTGCAAAGGCTGGGACAGTGATAATAATGGGGGGCTTTAACTACCCGAAAATTGACTGGAGTAATGGTACTGCAGGAACAGTTAAAGGGCAAATATTTTTAAACTACCACACAGGACAATTTTATGGTACAGATCATAGAGGCCCCTACTAGGAATGATGCTCTGCTGGACCTGGTAATCCCAAACCATGCAGACCTTATTACTAATGTCCATATAGAACATCTGGGTAGCAGTGATCATAACATGATTTCATTTGTTAGCTGTAAACAGCAAGCTCATACAGGAAAAATAAAGACGCTCAATTTTAAGAGAGCTAATTTTCCAAGGATGGGAGCTGCTCTCCAACACTTAGACTGGGAGGGAATATAGGCATCACTGAACACAACACAGAAATGGGAGTTCTTCAAAAAGACTGTATGTGAACACACTGCAAAATATATTCCCATAGGCAACAGGTTTAAAAGGCTAAAAACCAAACCTATGTGGCTTACGGCCAAAGTTAAAAAAGATATAGATAATAAAAGAAAAAGCCTTTATTAAATATAAAAATGAAGGAACACTATCATCGTTTAAGTACATTACAAAGAATATAACAATATGCAAAAAGGAAATAAAGGCTGCAAAAATTGAAAACGAATGACAGATTGCAAATGATAGCAGGACCAACCCCCAAAAAAATTCTTCAAATATATTAATATAAAAAAGATCTGGTCCAAGCATGTAGGCCCTTTACAAAAAAAAAAATCTACAGTGGGTGACTGGGGACAAAGAGAAGACAAATTTATTAAATCCCTTCTTCAGCTCTGTGTAGACAAAGGAGTATGGGGGAGCTCTTGTCCATAATGGACGTGGTACTGACACAGCTCCAGATGGTCCACATTGGTTCACAATTGATATGATCCAAAAATATTTAGACAGAATAAAGGTGAATAATGCACCTGGATGGCATACACTCACGGGGCCTTAAAGAATTGAGCTCTGTCATTTCAAAGCCATGGTTTCTCATTTTTAGGAACTCTTTAATGACTGGCATAGTACCACTGGATTGGCATAAAGCCAATGTGGTGCCAATATTTAAAAAGGGGTCAAAATCTTTACCAAGTTATTATACACCTGTTAGTTTAACTTCTATAGTTCTTGCTGGAAAAAAATATTTTAAGCAACAGACAGCATGGATTCATGACAGAAGTTTGCAAACTAATCTGATTTTATGAGGTGATGAGCAAAACCTTGGACAGAGGGTTGGTGGTGGACGTGGTATACTTGGACAGAGGGGTGGCCGGTGGCCGTGGTATACTTGGACAGAGGGGTGGCCGTGGTATACTTGGACAGAGGGGTGGCCGTGGTATACTTGGACAGAGGGGTGGCCGTGGATGTGGTGGTATACTTTGGACAGATGGGGTGGCCGTGGTGGCCGTGGTATACTTGGACAGAGGGATGGCCGTGGACGTGGCCGTGGATGTGGTATACTTGGACAGAGGGGTGGCGGTGGACGTGGTATACGTGGTATACTTGGACAGAGGGGTGGCGGTGGACGTGGTATACTTGGACAGAGGGGTGGCGGTGGACGTGGTATACTTGGACAGAAGGGTGGCGGTGGACGTGGTATACTTGGACAGAGGGGTGGCGGTGGACGTGGTATACTTGCACAGAAGGGTGGCGGTGGACGTGGTATACTTGCACAGAAGGGTGGCGGTGGACGTGGTATACTTGGACAGAAGGGTGGCGGTGGACGTGGTATACTTGGACAGAAGGGTGGCGGTGGACGTGGTATACTTGCACAGAAGGGTGGCGGTGGACGTGGTATACTTACACAGAAGGGTGGCGGTGGACAGCACTTCAGCCAAAGTGTCCATTGGTATGAGAGTTAAATCTACAGCCTTCTGCTCCATGCTCTCAATAAGCAGGTGAGCAAAACAGCAGTGATTAGATCTCTTATGGGATTTGGCCACACAGGCATAGTTTGACAAAGGAAAGTCACAACCAGGATTGGGTGAAAGGCAGGACCCACCAGAGAGAACAACCTTTAGAAAAGGCTTCCATCTGCTTAATCAGTTGTGCCACATCCTTCATCAAAATAGGAGGTCTTGTTAGGGCAGGCCACGGCCAGATCCACAATTGAACAGACAAAATCACTCAATGGATATAAAGCTAATAAGCGCTGGGGAAGGGGGCACAAATAACTTGTGAGTATGCTTCCAATCTCTATAGAGGAATAGCTGGAAAGGCAGGTGCAAAGGGAAAACCATTGAGGCCTAAGGGGGCTGCTCTGTGCAAAATCATTGTACAGAGCAGGTAAATATGTTAGTTTTGAGGTTTTTTTAAACAGTATTATTGCAACATACCTACCACAGAATGATGCACTGAGGTGCCATTGACTGTGGATGGACAAAAAAAATTGGATCTGCACCGTTTTTGCCAACAGAGCCCATCATGACACATTGGTGTGGTGCAGGTTCAATTTTCAGTCCCTTGAAGAACACTTCCCATTACAGGTATCTAAACTCTTACTTTACACAGGTGGTTTATTAATTTATATATAAATGCCATGCCCCTATAGCCCATCCACTACCCGCATTGTCATGTTAATAAACTTTTCTATCTTTGGTCACAGAAAAAAGAAAAAAAAAAAAAAAAAATTAAAAAAAAAGGGGTCAACTTGATTGACCACTCAGTCTTTTTTCTGAAGTCACTTTTAGGTTTCTATTATCTTTCACTCTTCCTATTACATTTGCTACTGTTTTGGAAGTTTTCCTTGTTTCAATATGACAATATTAACCCAAATAATGACCAGACATTAACAAAGCAAAAAGTCTGATTGGATTGGCTACTGCTGAAGTTTAGCATTAACGTCTTAATCGCGTTCTAAGCTGTTTCCGGCCACATAATCACAGTCACAAGGGTGAACAGCTCTAAAAATATTATCCCCAGAAATCATTTGTCAGGGAGATTGGGAAATAGATTAAAATAAAAAAAATGTTTAATATATTGCCAACTGGATACTCTAACAGACCAGAATGTTGGCTAAACAGTAACCAGCTATTAAAGTATCTCTAGGCAAAACCTTTTTTTTGGATGAAGTTTGGCAGGGTTAGGCTTTAAAGTTTTTTAATGTGCCCACTGAGGAGATTTACCCCTCTATTATATATAGTCTCTCATTGATGGTCATAAGGGGAAAATACAAATTGTTAAGAGTGTCTCCTGAACAGAAATAGAGGTGAATCTACAGACTCCACCTCCGCAACATCGCCAAAATCCGCACGTTCCTAACCCCAGAAACCACTAAACAGCTCATCCACTTCCTCATCATATCACGACTCGACTACTGCAACTCCCTCCTCACTGGCCTGCCTCGCCGCTGGCTATCCCCTCTTCAGTCCATCCTGAATACGGCTGCCAGACTCATTCACCTTTCAACGCTCCATCTCCGCCACCCTCCTCTGCCAATCCCTCCACTGGCTTCCGATTGCGCAACGGATCAAATTCAAAATCCTAACGCTGACGTACAAAGCTGTCCACCATACTGCCCCGAACTACATCACTGACCTAATATCTAAGTACCAGCCAGCACGCACACTCCGCTCCTCACAAGACCTCCTTCTCTCTAGTTCCCTGGTCTCCTCCTCCCATGCCCGCCTCCAGGACTTCTCCAGGGTGTCACCCATCCTCTGGAACTCCCTGCCCCAACCCATCAAATTATCACTTACTCTCCTTTCCTTTAGGCGCACCCTGAAAACCACCTCTTCAGGGAAGCCTACCCCACCCCCTGCTAACTTGCCGACCTCCTCCACTCTTCCTACCACTCCATCCCCCACAGCCATCTCCTCCTGTGCCACCATCCCCTCTCCCTCCTAGAATCTAAGCTCGAAAGAGCAGGGCCCTCGATCCCCTCATGTTTTGCATTGTATTGGTATTGTTCTGTCACATGTTCTGTCCCCCTTTGTAATGTACAGCGCTGAGCGAACTATTGGCGCTTTATAAATACTGGATAATAATAATAATCTTTCAAAATAGACACTTGTTCCAGGGGATTTCCTATAACTTTTGCATTTTTGAGGCAGGATGTGAAGGGAAATGTGCCAATGGTGCACAGAAAACTGAGACAACAGGTAAAATACAGCATGAGTATCCTAAACACAAACTACATTGTTTTGGGGGCACATTTTTTAAACTTTTCAATATCCCACACATACAGCATGTACACAATCATTGCTCTGCACATAAACATGACAAAGCCTTTCTAGAGCATTAGTCAAAAATTAGAGGGAAAGAAACGGGGAAAAGGTTGCAAATGGACTTTAAAAGGCACAGAAATTCCAAACACATATTAGTAAAATCATTTGTACTTTAATATGACAATAAGTCCTAGATTGTAAGCTCCCAGGATCAGGGCCCTCCTATCCCTCTTGTATTGAACTGTATTGTTGCTGTATTGTCTCCCGTTATAGTGTAAAGCTCTAAGCAAACTGTTGGCGCCATAAATCCTGTATAATAATAATGAAGAAACATCTTGCAGTATGCATGTTTCGTGACAATGATCGCTTCTTCAGGTGCTTAGTAGTAAAATCTAAAAGAAATATACATAAATTAAATTTAGGATATTCAGTTTTCTCATATCTATAGACATGTGCTATTGCGATTCCTTTGGGTTGAATCCTAGTATACACTATTTCTGTCTCTTTTCTTCTACTGGTGGATTTTAGACCATTGAGGTTTTGGACTAACAGCCAAATTTTGTGCGCCCCCCCTATCTGGCCTTCTGATTGGCCCCTTGCCTGGTGGAATACAGAGGAGGCCTACTCCCAGTACATGGAGGGTGTTATAGCTGTATGGTGCATATTGATATCATATGTAAGTCATGTTAAGATATGAATTTGCCTTTTTCTTGTATTCACATGTTGTAATTTGATATATTTAATTTATGTATATTTCTTTTAGATTCTACTAAGCCCCTGAAGCGATCATTGTCGCGAAACATGTTGGGCCATTTTCCTGCAACTTAATGTCTCGCAAACCCCCCCCCCCCCCTTTATAGGATCCATTTGGTGGTCTTTACATCCTTAATCATTGTGTTCCTTGTACACGGTGGACTGTGGGACATTGTCTTCGGGGATAGTGTAACTATGATCTTGTAGCCTCCCTAGCAGTCTTGATTATGGCCATATTTCTGTGCTCAAAGAAGTACTTTTTTTTTGCATGGAAATATGTATTTTTTTTTATTGTAGGCCTGTAATTTTTAGGAATAACTCACTGAAATCTAACAAGAGTCTAGTAAACATTCCAGGTATGTTAAAATTGGAAACACAAATTCATAAATTATAATTTAATAATCATAAAAATATAATAAATTTAATTCAATAATATAATCAAACCAAAAACACTGAAATTTGAAATATAGCGCCAAGTTCGCACATCACTGAGCAAAGTCGCAAAATCGTTTTCAGTGTCTGATGAGGAATTTCCCCACGAATCATTATCACTCAATTCTGCAAGTGGTTATGATTTACTATCACTGTTCTCTAGCCGGTCTAAAACCGCTTTTGACCTAAAGGGACGCTTTTTGGACGCCATGGACGTTTCAGTTTCCAGGCAGAAAGAAGAGTAAAAATGCAGGCAGGGCACCGTACAAAGCACTCGGGACAGAATGTATGTGAAATGGTTTGATACAGTAATGTTTTACTATGTGAATTTAGTGAATGTCACTTTTAGAATTTTCAAATTGCCAGCCAGTTCTGTCCCCAGTACGTCCTGACATCGCAGGGGACAAAACCCAGAAGACAGATGCCGGCATCGGCCGGAGGACATTGCAGGGGGGGACATAGCAGGAGAGCAGGACAAGGTAAGTGAAGAAGAGATCCCGGAGCAATGCTGCGGGGTATTCCCGAGTGTAGCTCGGGGTTACCGCTTGTGGTTCTGAAACTTTACCCCGAGTGTAGCTTGGGAATAGCGCCAGGGGGGGTTAAACTGCAAGATGTTTTTTCATGACTTATTGTCATAATAAAGCACAAATGATTTTACTAATATGTGTTTGGGATTTCTGTGCCTTTAAGTCCATTTGCAACCTTTTCCCCGTTTCTTTCCCTCCAATTTTGGACTAAATATATAGGATGTGGCACCAAATATTACCCATTCTTTTGGAAGTGATCTGGCACCCGGATACACTCCATTCCTTTCTTTTGCTCGTTCTAGAGCATTAACGTGGAGCTTAATTTAAAAAGTAAAGATTTTCTGTTACAGGGAAAATTTATAAATATTGACAATGTCTAGGCATTACCCTGAAAATGTATCTTGTCAAGAAAGCTTCCTGAAAGACAGCAGTGAATTTCATAGTAAGCGAGGGTGCCTAGGCACTCTTGTTTTGTAGTGGCTACTGTGTAGCCTTATAGCTGTACTGTATATCAAACTCAGACACTGTTACCTCTGACTGCTAGTCTCGGGATATTTGCTTTTCTCATGAAATCATTACTGTTCGGCTTACTTTTCTCTTTGCTGGAGACTCTGACATAAGGAAGCAATCCCTGCCTTGACCAAGAAGGCTACCTCCACAAAGAGGCAGTGCAGAATAAAATTGTCAGTAATGGAGAATAGATCAGCTGCAGGGAGATTACAGGAAATACTGGTAAGTACTCCTTCTGTCCTCTGCCTTTTTGGGGTACAGCTTCCATAGTTCAGTTCCTCTTTTAAAGTGATTGTAAATGCGAGACATTTTTTACCTTAATGAATTCCCTGTGGAAGGGAGGCAACTACTGACCAAAAGAGGGAATAAAAAAAAATTAAAAAAAAGGAGAAGATGGAGAGGGCTCTGCAATTCCAGCTCATAA